ACAGTAGGTGGCTTCGCTGGAGGACATCCAACTAGCGAAATCAAGGCATTAACAGACACCTCAAGGCCACAGGGCAGTTTCACACCTCTGGGAGGACACATGGACAGTATCAGTGTGATAGCTGTGAAAGTGACGTTTTATGGATCAGGGGTTGACCCGGAGCTGATCTGGCCACCACTGGTTTTGACCTGCCATACAGTATTTCTGATGTGTTTGTTTGGTGGATGTGAGTTGAATCTAACTGTTTTTTGTTTTGTTTTTATCATACTAACATTATCTACTTTACAGTAGGGTCAAATAAATTACTTCTCTGTCAAATTTACATTTGTGGTTTACACATGAACAGCAATCCTAACCCACCCTAACTGACCTCCTTACCTACTAATGAGAGATACATAAAATGACCACAGGGCATGAAAGGATCCCAAGCCCCCAGGAAAAGGAACTGCTTTGTGTTGTTTAAGATCATATCTAAGAGAAGGGGTGTGTGTTTATGTGTGTAGGCCAATGTGTGTGTATGTGAGTTAGGTTTAGGGAAATCACCTGTATAAAAAAAAATGTGGGACGGGACGGTTAGGCATGTTGCCTGGATACTTCTCCTCAGACACCCATAAGAGAACAACAGGGAAACAGAATATTCTACAACAAAACACACAACTTGGCACCAGGCTGGGACACAGCGAGTGGAACACAAAGATGTCTGATAGAAACTCAATAAGCAACGGTTTTGTCTGCGGTATCCACAGGACGAAGGGACTGGGCAGGAGGGTGTCAGGTGAACAAATTCTAGCTAAGAGAACAAAAGTCGATATCCATTCTCATAAAGAAGTGAAGGGGCTTTTCTGTAATGTCATATTCCAAATCTGGCTTAGTTTTTAATCAACATAATCTCGGTCCTTCTGTGTTGGGGAATGGTGGACGGACAGTTGGCTGGGTAGCACTAGAACAATGTGATAGGGATGTTCTGCGGCCATAGGTTGAGGTGGCTGAATGATACTGGTAGTAATAGTAGTAGTACTGAGGTAGTTGTTGTTACCAAGCCAACGGTTACATAGTTACATAGTTAGGGTAGACTCCTGTGTGAGCAGCGCTGGTGCCCCCTCTTTTAAAACATATGACATTTACAAAATAAATAATGGCACCAAATGGTTATAAAAAATTGAATTCAAAATAAATGATCAGATTCTGTCAAATTTCTCAAATACAACAATTTTCTTTAATAATAATAATAATATGCCATTTAGCAGACGCTTTTATCCAAAGCGACTTACAGTCATGCGTGCATACATTTTTTTTGTGTATGGGTGGTCCCGGGGATCGAACCCACTACCTTGGCGTTACAAGCGCCGTGCTCTACCAGCTGAGCTACAGAGGACCACCTTTAAACTTTAAACATTGGGAAAGCATGTTTTCCTCACTAAAATACATTCAATGTTTTTCAAATTGTAAACTGATGGTGTAATGAGGGTTAGCTTTGGGTTGGAAGTTGCCTTAGCTCCAGTCCATGGCTAGCTGTATTAGAGCTAGTATTATAGTATTAACAAATGTACCAAAAATCCCTCCTAAATGTACTGGTTAGCTGATCCTGTTGCAGCCCTTTAGTAGCAGCAGTATCTCAGGTGTGTCAGTCGGGGTGTTATTACCAGCCAGTGTTGTTCCTTCCCGTCAGTGGGTGAAGGCCGTATTACTTCCTGTACAGCTCAGCCTCGGCCAGGTCAGCTGACAGGCTTTTGGCCATCTTTCAGTAGTCCTCTTCATACTGTGGTCTGCCTCGATAGCCCTGCCCAATGTCCTGTTGATGTTACACTTCTATCTCACAGTATCATACTTAGGTTTTATTTACATACAAAAGGCATAGAAAACGATAATGACATGACAATAACCTACAAATAGTTATTTGGTTCCTTTAGGATTACAATTCTTTGTATAATTCATTGACATAACCATTACAGTACGGGTATGAGCTGTGTTAAATTAATACGTGTTTACAGAACCCCTTGTTACCTCATAATACCTCAGTAAATACCAGGTAAAACATGATTGGCACCGATTGATGTTGAAAGAATGTTCTCCTATCTCCATGTGGCAGCCTCACCTTGTTGGCCCTGTGCCTGCTTGCTCTGCCTCCGGTCCTGGGGGGGGGGGGGTTGAGAGCTGGGGGGGAAGTTACCGCTGGAAGAACACATTGCTGGTCAGTAGAGCTGAGTCTGACTGGGTGGACCTCCTCCCGTGGTGTGAGACAGAAACTGTGAGACCACGGAAGAGAGCGAGAGAGAGAGAGAGAGAGAGAGAGAGAGAGAGAGAGTTTTGTTTACTATCTACTTCACTTGCTTTGGCAATGTTAACACACGTTTCCCATGCCAATAAAGCCCTTAAATTGAAATTGAATTGAATTGAGAGAGAGCATCAGTAGAATAGTCCCTGGGTATGTTGCATCTAAGCTGTTCTTCTGTTTGGTCTTTGCTGATTAAGGTTCACGCAATATGGAGGATAAATATGGATTCAAATAAGGCAAATAGACGATGGTATTAAAAGCTGAAACCATATCTTACCCAGCAGGTAATCTACAGGAGGAGCCGATGATGACTTCTGTAGAGGCTGAGAGGAGACAGGATACCTGCCCTTAGAGTAGACATTCTACACCCACCTGGTGCTGCTACAATGACGAAAGTCAGAACGGAAACAAGACAGCATCAACATCACATCCCCAATGAATCTGTTACAGCTGCAACATGGAACCCGACCAAATTCACATAGAAATGTGTGTTATAGATATGTCATTCCCAATGAAAGCAAGTCTAAGAAGCGGTAGATATATTCTATGTGCGCTATTTCTATGCTTCCCGTTCTTAAGTTTTGTTTTTGTGTCTTTTATTTTCGGTTTTGTACACCAGCTTCAAACAGCTGAAAAGACTAAGTACTAAGTATACTGAAATTAAGCAAAGTATTAGAATTTTAGCAACAAGGAAATGGCGGAGCGATTTCTGCATAGTGCAGCTTTAAATTGTGACGTGATAATGAAATGAATAAAGTAGTCATGATGAGACCCAGTCATGACAGTGTCACATGGACAGGAGTGGGCTGGTTGCTGGTCCTTCCCTGGAGATCTGTAGCTTGGGTTCTTGTATGAGTGCCGGAGGGCCGGAGGACCGGAGGACCGGAGGACTGGAGGGCCGGAGGACTGGAGGGCCGGAGGACTGGAGTCTCCAGAGAACAGTTCTCCTCTGATGCTAAGAGGGATGGAGAAACACACACAACTACCTTAAGGACCACCGAAGACAACTTTAAGGCAAATTCTGCAAGCTGAAGGGCCAAAATCTGACTAAACAACTGATTTTATCCTTTGATAAACATATTTACGTTTTAGTCATTTAGCAGATGCTCTTATCCAGAGCAATTTACAGTAGTGAGTGCATACATTCTCATACTGGTCCCCAGTGGGAATTGAACCCACAACCCTGGCATCGCAAGCCCCATGCTCTACCAACTGAGCCACAAAGGATGTAAAAATCACTCTTGTTTTTCCAACAGTTCCCTGTATTTTACACCCATTAGGAGAAAGTCAATACCAGGACTACCAACCTGTATTGGAGTGTTTTTTGCTCTGGGTTTTCCCTGGTCTGTCCGAGCAGGAGTAGGGCTTGCTACTCCCTCTCCTGCCACCTAGTGGTGTACTGTAGAATGGCAGCATGTTCCCAGAGCGGTCTGACTCCACACTGTCTATACCTGGAAAAAAGGACCATACACAGGCCAGGGAATTGTAACTTCGTACACAATGAAATTGACAATTAAACACAACTTTACATTTACAATAATCTCTGGTGGGCAGACTACGTAAACATAAATGGTACCATAGATCCGTTTTTATATTACTGGCATCGATTGATAATGAGCAGCAATAGTTCCGGTGCTTGGGTTTGTCGTCACTGGTTATTTGGACAAATCATGATTTCGCAGCTGTTAGCATCTTTCGAATTTCAGAAGGGGAGGGGACATTTGGCCCATACACTTGCCCATAACTTACAAAGAGAGAGGGTGGAGCACCTCATTCTATCGTCTCTTCATCTCTTCTCGTAACATGTATGGACCAAGAACTTAATTGAGCATCTGACCAATAACGCAAAACTTTAGTTTAGATTACATTTACAATGACTAACATTATATGGTAATATAAGCAATATCTGAATTACATGCTAACTGAAATGCTACTAAATTACACATTGGCACTTGCAGGCATCAACAAATTGGTTTTGAAGGCATAATGGTGGACAGTCGTGTAGAGTACCTTTGCTCTTGCTGTGGTCCGTGTCTGAGGAGATCCAGTCTTCTTTCTTGGAGTTGGTGTTGGTCAGACTGTCTGCTCCCTGTGGGACTGTGGGATGTCCTGGGCCTGGTCTTGAGCATCTTGTCCTGTCTGTCCTGTCTGTATCTGGAGGTCAAGTAGTCCATCCTCTGGGAGAGGTGAGGCAGCTGGACCAGACCTACCTCCAGGTCTCTCCTCAGCTGGGACACCTCCGACTGCAGGGCCTGCATCACCTCACTGGAGAGACACAGCGAGAGAGAGGTTGGTCAGCTGAAAAACATTAGGGTTTTGGCCACTATGATGTAAGCCCTATTACCTGGTAGCCTGACCTGGTTACCGATTTCATATGGTAAAGTTTACTCTTGAATTGAATACTCAGTGCTTTTAGACTAACCTGTAACAGGAGCAGATGTGGGCATGTCCATGGCGTGACCATGGTGATGCCGTGCATGGGCTGTGATTGGTCAGTGGGGCCGTGGTGACTGAGCTGACTGGGAGTGTGGGAGTCACCCTCTGTGTGTACATTAGGGCATTTAGGTCAGTGTTTGCCCAGCTGTACTGCCTCTACTGGAAAACATCAACACTTCCACTACAACCACAGCGGAAGCTGTGTGAATCCTCACCCCTCACCATGCAGTCTAGCAGGTACACTCTGAATAGGTCTGGTCAGCCAGTGGTCCACTGCAGTCCTGCACAACTAAAGAGGCATCTGCAGGCTGGGTCTCCTCTCTCCAATATCCCCAGCTGCATGGACCGTTGTCTGCAGGTTGGAGCAGGAGCCTTCACTGTCACTCATACTCACAGGACTGGCGGTCCCATCACACTGGAGCAGGAGCCTTCACTGTCACTCACAGGACTGGCGGTCCCATCACACTGGAGCAGGAGCCTTCACTGTCACTCACAGGACTGGCGGTCCCATCACACTGGAGCAGGAGCCTTCACTGTCACTCACAGGACTGGCGGTCCCATCACACTGGAGCAGGAGCCTTCACTGTCACTCACAGGACTGGCGGTCCCATCACACTGGAGCAGGAGCCTTCACTGTCACTCACAGGACTGGCGGTCCCATCACACTGGAGCAGGAGCCTTCACTGTCACTCACAGGACTGGCGGTCCCATCACACTGGAGCAGGAGCCTTCACTGTCACTCACAGGACTGGCGGTCCCATCACACTGGAGCAGGAGCCTTCACTGTCACTCACAGGACTGGCGGTCCCATCACACTGGAGCAGGAGCCTTCACTGTCACTCACAGGACTGGCGGTCCCATCACACTGGAGCAGGAGCCTTCACTGTCACTCACAGGACTGGCGGTCTCATCACACTGGAGCAGGAGCCTTCACTGTCACTCACAGGACTGGCGGTCCCATCACATTGGAGCAGGAGCCTTCACTGTCACTCACAGGACTGGCGGTCCCATCACACTGGAGCAGGAGCCTTCACTGTCACTCACAGGACTGGCGGTCCCATCACACTGGAACTGGAGCCTGAGGATGGGTGATAAAAACAATAACATGAATTTCACCCAGTTGAATTATTAACACATTCCTGTCCACTCAGATAGCTTGTCTCACTCCAGGTATGTATGTACCTGGACCTTTCTGTATCAAGTTTTGGTTGGGAAAGTCCTGTGGCTGGACGACTCAAATCAGAGCTCCCAAACCCACTGTCTGTTTCAGGAGTCACCATCCTCTACATCCCAGAAAGAACCCCAAACATCAGCGTCACTTCCAACACTCAGGAAGTAGTAAGCTGTATTACCCATAGTACAGCCATCTGTGCCAGTTAGGGAATTAGTAAATGTATTGTCACTAACCTGGGATGTGGTGAGGGTCTGGGACTGGTCATAACATCAGAGGAGCAGGAGACAAGTCAGACTCCCACTACCTCCCAGATTACACTCACTGTCTGGGTTCAGGGGACTCTGCTGCAGGCTACAGTAACAACAACAACAACAACAACACAATACCAGGATGAAGACATTGTCTAAATCCACGTTTTAGATGTTCATTTGGAAATACTTTACCAAATCGTACACCTTTCATATGTAGCATGTCAGTTGTGCAATAGGACTTAGATAGAGACAGTGCATCATGTCTTACTATTGTATTGATGAAATCACCACACCATATAACCACAGCTGTGGGGATTAGTTGTGTGGTTCGTTCATTATGCACACGTGATACATTATAGACAAAAGAGGGAAGTGTTGAGGTGAATATTGAATTGGTTAGCTTGTTTACTTAGCTAGTCCAGTACACTGAAATACCAAAACACTAACCTGTCAGGCGTCCATAGTCTATTACATTTACATTTTTTACATTTTAGTCATTTAGCAGACGCTCTTATCCAGAGCGACTTACAGGAGCAATTAGGGTTAAGTGCCTTGCTCAAGGGCACATTTACGTCATTTAGCAGATGCTCTTATCCAGAGCGACTCACAAATTGGTGCATTCACCCTATAGCCAGTGGGATAACCACTTTACACATTTTTTTTGGGGGGGGGGTAGAAGGATTACTTTATCCTATCCCAGGTATTCCTTAAAGAGGTGGGGTTTCAAATGTCTCCGGAAGGTGGTGAGTGACTCCGCTGTCCTGGCGTCGTGAGGGAGCTTGTTCCACCATTGGGGTGCCAGAGCAGCGAACAGTTTTGACTGGGCTGAGCGGGAACTATGCTTCCGCAGAGGAAGGGGAGCCAGCAGGCCAGAGGTGGATGAACGCAATGCCCTCGTTTGGGTGTAGGGACTGATCAGAGCCCGAAGGTACAGAGGTGCCGTTCCCCTCACTGCTCCATAGGCAAGCACCATGGTCTTGTAACGGATGCGAGCTTCAACTGGAAGCCAGTGGAGTGTGCGGAGGAGGGGGGTGACGTGAGAGAACTTGGGAAGGTTGAACACCAGACGGGCTGCGGCATTCTGGATGAGTTGTAGGGGTTTAATGGCACAGGCAGGGAGGCCAGCCAACAGCGAGTTGCAGTAATCCAGACGGGAGATGACAAGTGCCTGGATTAGGACCTGTGCCGCTTCCTGTGTAAGGCAGGGTCGTACTCTCCGAATGTTGTAGAGCATGAACCTGCAGGAGCGGGTCACCGCCTTGATGTTAGCGGAGAACGACAGGGTGTTGTCCAGGGTCACGCCAAGGCTCTTCGCACTCTGGGAGGAGGACACAACGGAGTTGTCAACCGTGATGGCGAGATCATGGAACGGGCAGTCCTTCCCCGGGAGGAAGAGCAGCTCCGTCTTGCCAGGGTTCAGCTTGAGGTGGTGATCCGTCATCCATACTGATATGTCTGCCAGACATGCAGAGATGCGATTCGCCACCTGGTTATCAGAAGGGGGAAAGGATATCTTGCGATACCGGGTTCTGGCGAGCCAAATACTCCAGAACCCTATCATGAGCTATCCCCTCAGATAAACCCGAGCTCCTCTCCTCTTCTTCCTCCTCCTCTTCCTCTGTGTTGGTGATGTTTCTCCAGAGAGCTTGTGAAAGCCTCAGGGGGAACAGAGAGAAACACAGAGACTAAAACAAACTTTTCCTACTCTTTACGAAACCCACCACTACCTCTGTACCTGGATGTAACAAAATCTCCCATGGGAGGGCCGGGAGCATGCCTGCTATCAGCACACATGAACATGTACACGTGTGAACGCACACGCACGGACACACACGCACGCATGCACACACACACACACACGTGTGGACAGGGGCATACAAGCATGCACATACTATCCACTTACATCATCCATCAACGGTCCACAGATGATTATCAGAATATCTGAATGTACAGTAACTTGCGATTCATGTCAATGTCATGGAAAATAGAGATAATATCACTCCCCTAGACAGGATTTCTACTTAGGGCCATGAGGCATAAAAACAAGTATGTAAATGGTACACAGTGTAGTATTACAGGAATGTACAGTGGGGAAAAAAAGTATTTAGTCAGCCAACAATTGTGCAAGTTCTCCCACTTAAAAAGATGAGAGAGGCCTGTAATTTTCATCATAGGTACACGTCAACTATGACAGACAAAATGAGGAAAACAAATCCAGAAAATCACATTGTAGGATTTTTAATGAATTTATTTGCAAATTATGGTGGAAAATAAGTATTTGGTCAATAACAAAAGTTTCTCAATACTTTGTTATATACTCTTTGTTGGCAATGACACAGGTCAAATGTTTTCTGTAAGTCTTCACAAGGTTTTCACACACTGTTGCTGTTATTTTGGCCCATTCCTCCATGCAGATCTCCTCTAGAGCAGTGATGTTTTGGGGCTGTCGCTGGGCAACACAGACTTTCAACTCCCTCCAAAGATTTTCTATGGGGTTGAGATCTGGAGACTGGCTAGGCCACTCCAGGACCTTGAAATGCTTCTTACGAAGCCACACCTTCGTTGCCCGGGCGGTGTGTTTGGGATCATTGTCATGCTGAAAGACCCAGCCACGTTTCATCTTCAATGCCCTTGCTGATGGAAGGAGGTTTTCACTCAAAATCTCACGATACATGGCCCCATTCATTCTTTCCTTTACACGGATCAGTCGTCCTGGTCCCTTTGCAGAAAAACAGCCCCAAAGCATGATGTTTCCACCCCCATGCTTCACAGTAGGTATGGTGTTCTTTGGATGCAACTCAGCATTCTTTGTCCTCCAAACACGACGAGTTGAGTTTTTACCAAAAAGTTATATTTTGGTTTCATCTGACCATATGACATTCTCCCAATCCTCTTCTGGATCATCCAAATGCACTCTAGCAAACTTCAGACGGGCCTGGACATGTACTGGCTTAAGCAGGGGGACACGTCTGGCACTGCAGGATTTGAGTCCCTGGCGGCGTAGTGTGTCTCTCTGCAGGTCATTCACTAGGTCCCCCCGTGTGGTTCTGGGATTTTTGCTCACCGTTCTTGTGATCATTTTGACCCCACGGGGTGAGATCTTGCGTGGAGCCCCAGATCGAGGGAGATTATCAGTGGTCTTGTATGTCTTCCATTTACTAATAATTGCTCCCACAGTTGATTTCTTCAAACCAAGCTGCTTACCTACTGCAGATTCAGTCTTCCCAGCCTGGTGCAGGTCTACAATTTTGTTTCTGGTGTCCTTTGACAGCTCTTTGGTCTTGGCCATAGTGGAGTTTGGAGTGTGACTGTTTGAGGTTGTGGACAGGTGTCTTTCATACTGATAACAAGTTCAAACAGGTGCCATTAATACAGGTAACGAGTGGAGGAAGAGGAGCCTCTTAAAGAAGAAGTTACAGGTCTGTGAGAGCCAGAAATCTTGCTTGTTTGTAGGTGACCAAATACTTATTTTCCACCATAATTTGCAAATAAATTCATTAAAAATCCTACAATGTGATTTTCTGGATTTTCTTTTCTCATTTTGTCTGTCATAGTTGACGTGTACCTATGATGAAAATTACAGGCCTCTCTCATCTTTTTAAGTGGGAGAACTTGCACAATTGGTGGCTGACTAAATACTTTTTTCCCCCACTGTAGATGATTAACACTAAACAGTGAAGAATGTAAAAGGCATATAGAGAAACTCAAAGAAGTGGGATGTGTACGGTAGACTGACGCTGCTGTGTCCAGTACTGTTCAGTAGGGGGTCAGCAGGTGTGAGATCGCAGCGCTGGTCTAAACCATCATGTCCATGGACCTCACTGGCTTCTTCATCATACTCCTGCTCTTCCTCCCTCTCCTCTGGCTCAAACCCCCAGTGTTAAAAACAGGGGCCTGGATCCTGGAACGTGAGACCCTGACCAAAGAGAGATTCATTAGACAACACACACGCACACACACACACACACACACACACTTTGAGCAGCTAGCATGTCCTGACTGTCCTCACTGTGAAAACATGAGCCACGGAAATGATTGTCATTCAATGAGAGAGCAAGACACGCATCCACTTACAAAACAAGGACTTGGGCTGCATTTCACTCTAACAAGTTGTCCCCTCCCCAGATGTGTTGATAGGTTAGTCAATAGCTCCTCCTAGTTTACATGATATTGCTTTCACTTACTCAGTCCTATCAGATCTGTGAGGGGGAGTGAACGGTGGCAGAAGGGAGAACGCAACTTTTGGGAATGAAATGCAGCCCTGTTCATCAGGACTACTGCTGCATTGGTCAACGTCCATTTCTCATGTTGCTCACACAAACCCCTCTAACATGGATCAGGACTACTGCTTCACAGAACACATGTTGATGCAGGAAGTAAGTGAGTGAGTGTGTTACGTTACCTCATGCAGGGGTGGTGGAGGTGAGGGGGTGAGCAGACCCGGGGAACTGGGCTCCCCACACAGTGACGGGGGTGTGGGGGTGGAGGATGAGTGGGGAGGGGAGGGGAGAGGCGTTGCTCACACACGTTCCTGTGAATCAGCCCTTTAATGTCCCCTAGGTGCATCCCTATCCTGAATATCAAATTAAATCAAATGTTATTGGTCACATACATGTGTTTAGCAGATGTTATTGCGGGTGTAGCGAAATGCTTGTGCTTCTAGCTCCGACAGTGCAGTAATATCTAACAAGTGATATCTAACAATTTCACAACATATACCCAATACACACAAATCTAAGTAAGGAATTAATTAAGAATATATACATATATGGACGAGCGATATCATAGCGGCATGGACTAAGATACAGTAGAATGGTATAGAATACAGTATATACATATGAAATGTGTAATGTGTAATGCAAGATATGTAAACATTATTAAAGTGACTAAGATACTTCATACACACAAAATAAGCAATAATATGCATAAAATATCCCTGGCATTATGCTGAATTCTACACAAACCTAGCCTGGGTGTCAGTCTGTTTCTGCTTTCAGACAGAACTGCCTAATTCACACTATAGGGCAAAACTGTGCAAAGCCAAGCTGTACTGTACTGACCTGGTTATACATCTACCATTGTTGTTGGAAAAGTGCTGGAAAGGTCTACGTGAAAAGAAAACAGCCGAGCCAGCACAGTACGGTTCTGGTTGGCCCTAGTGTGAGTGTCACGCCCTGACCTAGAGAACTCTTGTTGGTTGGGTCAGGGTGTGAGTTCAGGTTGAGATCTATGTTATTAGATTCTATGTTTAGAATGTGTATTTCTATGTTTGGCCGGGTGTGATTCCCAATCAGAGGCAGCTGTCGCTCGTTGTCTCTGATTGGGGATCATACTTAGGTAGCCATGTTGCCTACCTTAGTTGTGGGATCTTGACTCGTGTTTGGCTTGTTAGTGTGTAGCCATTGTTTGAGCTTCACGTTACGTTGCTTTTGTTGTTTTGTCAAGTGTTTATCGTCATTAATAAATATGTACGCATACCACGCTGCACCTTGGTCTGACCCATCTCTCAACGATCGTGACAGTGAGTCAGGCAGACATGTACTGTTTAACTCAACCTCCTCACACACAATAAGATACTGTACATCAGTTGAACTGGCCTGTGTTCCTGGCGAGGCCCATGTAGTTCTGCATCTCCAGAGCTCTGTGCTCCTCTTTCTTACAGATGTACCTCCTCTCCAGCTAGTCCTGGGCATCCATCATACTCTTAAACACCTGGACACAGGACAACGGCCATGGTTGGATATAGCATTATGACACAACAATATACTTATAGAATCAAGGATATGAGAATCAACTGTTATTATACAACGGGTGGGTCTAATCCTGAATGCTGATTGGTTAAAACCGCATTCCAGCGGTGTCTATTCCAAAAGTTACCACCAGCTACATCTATGACATTAAAATGCCTATTTACTCTGTTCCATCTGACTGTGCAATCCACTGTCTAACCAGCCCAGCCAGGCACTTTATAAACTTTAGAACACAGTCCTGAACAGAAATATACCTTTTAAGTAAATGAAGATCAATGGCCCATTTGTTGCTCTTCAATAGTAATTGACATTGTGTTCAGATACATTTTGAATTAATCCACCTGTTAAATTCAGTATCATTTTAATTAAGGGTGATAATGCACCACTATAAAGCTTTTTTTTTTTTTTTTCAGGTTACCTTCTACATAAACTGACTGATAATATCCCTCAACTCCCTGGCCATCCTTTCCCTTTCACTGGGACTCGGTTGGTCAGTGTGGGTTGAAGAGGTGTTGGGCTGTTTAGAGTGGTTTTGTTGGTTTGGCTCCTCAGCTAATTGTCCTGCAAACATAACAAAAGCTGAGACGATGCAGATCCAGCTTATGCTATGGCCTAAATTCTACAGCATTGAAAATGGAAAGTATTTTATTTTAATTGATGATGATTTAATGTGAAAAAATATCATATAATGAGAAATAACTAAAGTCATTGCTATGGTTGCATCATCTCACGTAAACTGGTTGTGTAATATGTTTGTCATCTTTTATTTATTTCTTTTTTTTCAATACTTTGTCCATGAATCCTCACTCTTTAAATTTTTTTAGGGGGTGAATCCTCACTTTTAGGTTGTGACTGTGTGTGTAACCAGAATCATATGTCATCCGACCCCATTTGTTACTAAGGAAACAGGTGGCTCTTTGCCAGCTAATTTGTAACAGAGCGAAGACCTGTCATAATATCAGATGTCAGAGACAGCATATTGCCTGATGGAGATGGGGCGTTGGGGAGGAGCGTAGATCCAAAATGGCTTCCAACAGGACCCGGAAGGTCATCTTGGTCACCACAGTCAAACTCCAGGGTAAGATCAGATAGCGCTTGTGTCTGTTGAAAGAAATGGTTACAAGTTGTACAACATTTCTATTGACACCTTTTGAGATTGTTTCAAAAGTGACAATAGTATGAAGGATATCTAAGTCTATTTAACAGAACAAAGACAAGACTATTGTAGAGTCTCATCTGATCAATGAGGTTTTCAGCCTCTGCATATTTAGTCAGCAATTTATCATATTCAGCCTAAAAGAGCGATATGAGAGAGATGTGTTATCTCTACGCTGCTGCGTCGTGGGGCTGCTCCACTATTATTACTGGGGCTCCCTGCGCTGCTGCGTCGTGGGGCTGCTCCACTATTATTACTGGGGCTCCCTGCGCTGCTGCGTCGTGGGGCTGCTTCACTATTATTACTGGGGCTCCCTGCGCTGCAGCGCCATGGGGCTGCTCCACTATTATTACTGGGGCTCCCTGCGCTGCTGCGTCGTGGGGCTGCTTCACTATTATTACTGGGGCTCCCTGTGCTGCTGCGCCAGGGGCCCCTGCTCAGCACTGTCTCTTCCATGCTCTCCAGGAGAGACACCTCCGGCAGGGTCTCTGCCTCGATCAGCCTGCCCGAGCAGAGCAGCTCACCCTTGGAGAAGTGGCGGAGCAGCAGCTGGGTGATGTCTGGGTGTGGGGCTTCACCGACAGGACAACTGCATGTGGGGACAGCCTCTGGTGTTTAAGAGTCAATAAAAGCAACATTACTCTCTCTCTCCTTTGGAGTCAAAGATGCAGGGATCATAGTGGTGATTTCTATCTGGAGGGAACCTTGTATGATATTGACCTCTCCAACCATTGCCTGCAAATCAGAACCTAACTTTGTGTCTTAAATGCAATGCTCCAGCTTGGTCTCTTGACAGAACGTCAGCTATTTTGCAATTCTCCTCAGGAACAGTTTTAGCTCCAGTCATTTTATGGATTCATGTTGTTATATAGCGTCTACATTAGTAATTGCATAGTTTTTAACGTTTTTTTTTACAACGCAGTTGCTAAAGAATGACAATAGTGTTGCTAGAGTAATAATCTCTCATGTATAGACAACGTAAACATAAGCATCTGAACACATTAAGCAAGATTTTAGTTCTGGGTTAACCGAGATTACTAGAGTAAGTACAGAGTTACTAGACAGATATAAGAGCAAGTTAACAGGGTATGTCTTACCATTGAGATGGATGCTATTCCCAGAGGCAGCCGACTCTGCCTGGGAGAGATTCACCTTGAAGGAGCCCTCCAGGTCACTGAAGTGGAGGCTCTCATCTTCACTCAGGTCCACATAGATACTCTGCTGGATACACTTCTCCCAAAGCACAGAGGACTGAGGGAAAGTGGACCTTCCTTGGGCTTCAGATTCCTCCTCTTGGTCCTCAGGTTCCCCCTCCATGTGCTACTCAGTCATTGACTGACCTTCATGTCTTAAAGTAATGATGGACTGTCATTTCTCTTTTCTTATTTGAGCTGTTCTTACCATAATATGGACTTGGTCTTTTACCAAATAGGACACTTTTTTGGTTACTACATTATTTCATAGTTTTGAAGTCTTCACTATTATTCTACAATGTAGAAAATAGCAAAAATAAAGAAAAACCCTTGAATGAGTAGGTGTGTCCAAACTTTTAACTGGTACTGTGTATACACTACTGTTCAAAAGTTTGGGGTCACTTAGAAATGTCCTTGTTTTTGAAAGAAAAGCAATTTTTTTGCCCATTAAAATAACATCAAATTGACCAGAAAAAATACAGTGTTGACATTGTTAATGTTGTAAATGGCTATTGTAGCTGGAAACGGCTGATTTTTAATGGAATATCTACATAGGCGTTCCAGAGGCCCATTATCAGCAACCATCAGTCCTGTGTTCCAATGGCACGTTGTGTTTGCTAATCCAAGTTTATCATTTTAAAAGGCTAATTGATCATTAGAAAAACCTTTTGCAATTATGTTAGCACAGCTGAAAACTGTTGTGCTGATTAAAGAAGCAATAAAACTGGCCTTCTTGAGACTAGTTGTGTATCTGGTGAATCAGCAATTGTGGGTTCGATTATGGGCTCAAAATGGCCAGAAACAAAGAACTTTCTTCTGAAACTCATCAGTCTATCCTTGTTCTGAGAAATGAAGGCTATTCCATGCGAGAAATTGCCAAGAAACTGAAGATCTCGTACAACACTGTGTACTACTCCCTTCACATAACAGCGCAAACTGGCTCTAACCAGAATAGAAAGAGGAGTGGGAGGCCCCGGTGCACAACTGAGCAAGAGGACAAATACAATAGAGTGTCTAGTTTGAGAAACAGGTGCCTCACAGGTCCTCAGCTGGCAGCTTCATTAAATAGTACCCGCAAAACACCAGTCTCAACGTAAACAGTGAAGAGGCGACTCCGGGATGCTGACCTTCTAGGCAGAGTTGCAAAGAACAAGCCATATCTCAGACTGGCCAATAAAAATAAAAGATTAAGATGGGCAGTCTAGAAAGAGGAGTGTGTGAGAGACTTGATAAACTTGCTCTTCAGCATAACGAGTATGTGAAGGTCCAGTCTCTGATGTTCAAAAGCATGACAGACTAAGCTATATGCAGTCGGTATAAGTACAATTCTATTAGGATAACTAAACTGATTAAATAAAGGTTAAATAAAATCTCAAACATCTCTATCCTGCTGACAGGTCTCATACACAAAGTCTGTGCAACCTCTCAAAACAATCAACCACAAGACTTGCTGGCAAGTTATCATCATATACCTGTTGTACACAATGAAACTCACCTGACCTGGCTCCTTAGCAGTACAACTTCAGCTTTGACAATCTCATCTGTTTAGAATGTGTTCTTTGCTACACAGCATTGCTTCTTATGGGGGGTCATCAATCCAAGATGGTGTAGCAGTGCGATCGTGTTTTTGTCTGTGTCCTTGTGTAAAATGGCAGTTTTTTTTTAGTTTTTTGTCTATTTTGTATATATTTCTCAATTTTACTTTTCATTCTATAACTAAATATACTTTCCTGCAACCTGCCTTACCCAACGTGGAAAGGATTCTATTATTTCTTTATAACTTTTATTAAGAACCTTAAGCTGAAACTATTCTAGCTGCAACCGAATGGCTACTTGCTATTAGCCACCGTTAGCGTCTTCACCATTGTCCGTGGCCTGCACTACCCACTACTGCACTAGCTCTAGCCTGGACAATTTGTCGGCCAGTCTTCACAGCGTGCTATCAACCCAGAGCATATCGGATTTTCTGCCGGAATCACTGGACCCTAGCGCCGGATCATCGCAACCAGCTAGCTGTAACCAAATGGCTGTTGTCGTTGGCTAATTACCATTGCCCCATTAGCAAGCACCAGTTAGCCTTGAGCTAGCCTCGAGCCAGGCCCATGTCCCGGCTATCTACCTCTCTGTCAACCGGACGGGACCTCCTAGTGTTGACACGGAGCCCCGCCGATCTAACACGACTGGTTTGCCGACGAAATCGTCTGATGTGGTTTCGATGTCGACCACGAAGATCCATCTGCTAGCCCCGGCCCGCTAGCACACGCAAGCCGGGCCTCTTGCTCGCCAGTGCTGTAGCAGCCCCCGAACTACCCCCCGAACTCTCCTATTGCTGTTCACCGGACCTTATGATAACTCAGCTATACAGCTGATGCCTGCTGGACTGTTCCTTTATACGGTACCGCATCCTGTTTATGTTTAGCCTCAGCCCAAATTTTGTCGCCATTACCAGCTGTTGTGTTAGCTCTCTCGAATAACACCTGTGATTGCTTTATACCTCTCTCCCATGTCAATATGCCTTGCTTATTGCTGTTTCGGTTATTTCTTATTTTACTATTTCACTGTAGAGCCCCCAGCCCAGCTCAACCTGCCTTAGACAGCTCCTTTGTCCCACCCCCCATACACGCGGAGACCGAATCTGTAAACATGGGCACCCTCATAGATATCATCCTGACAAATGTACCCTCTAAATACACCTCCGCTCTCTTCAACCAGGATCTCAGCGATCACTGCCTTATTGCCTGCATCCGACTCAATCGGTGCCTCCAGTGATGCTATCTCTTTCCTCATTACCCAATGCTTAGGTTTACCTCCACTGTGCTCATATCCTTCCATATCCTTGTCTGTACATAATGCCCTGAATCGATTCTACAACGCCTGGAAATCTGCCCCTTTTTTTCTCTGTACCCAACGCACTAGAAGACCAGTTCTTAAAGCCTTTAGCCGGATCCTTATTCTACTCCTCCTCTGTTCCTCTGGTGATGTAGAGGTTAACCTAGGCCCTGTAGCCCTCAGTATCACTCCTACTCCCCAGGCGTTATCATTTGTTGACTTCTGTAACCGTAAAAGCCTTGGTTTCTTGCACGTTAACATCCGAAGCCTTCTCCCTAAGTTTGAGTTATTCACTGCGTTAGCACACTCCGCCAACCCTGCTGTTCTAGCAGTTTCTGAATCCTGGCTTAGGAAGGCCACCAAAAATGCAGAAATGTCCATCCCCAACTACAACATTTTCCGTCTCGATAGAACTGACAAAGGGGGTGGGGTTGCAATCTACTGTCGAGATAGCCTGCAGAGCTATATCATACTATCCAGGTCTGTGCCCAAACAGTTTGAGCTTCTACTTCTAAAAATCCACCTTTCCAGAAATAAGTCTCTCACTGTTGCCGCTTGCTACAGACCCCCCTCAGCCCCGAGCTGTGCCCTGGACACCATATGTGAACTGACTGCTCCCCATTTATCCTCAGAGTTCGTACTGCTTGGTGACCTAAACTGGGATATATTTAACACCCCGGCCAACCTACAATCTAAACTAGATGCCCTCAATCTCACACAAATTATCAACGAACCTACCAGGTACAACCCAAAATCTGTAAACATGGGCACCCTCATAGATATCATCCTGACAAATGTACACTCTAAATACACCTCCGCTGTCTTCAACCAGGATCTCAGCGATCACTGCCTTATTGCCTGCATCCGTAATGGGTCCGCGGTCAAACGACCATCCCTCATCACTGTCAAATGCTCCCTAAAACACTTTAGCGAGCAGGCCTTTCTAATTGACCTGGCCCGGGTATCCTGGATGGATATTGACCTCATTCCTTCAGTAGAGGATGCCTGGTTGTTCTTTAAAAGTGCTTTCCTCTCAATCTTAAATAAGCATGCCCCATTCAAAAATAATAATTTAGAACTAAGAACAGATGTAGCCCCTGGTTCTCCTCAGACTTGACTGCCCTTGACCAGCACAAAAACATCCTGTGGCGTATTGCATTAGCATCGAACAGCCCCCGCGATATGCAACTTTTCAGGGAAGTCAGGAACCAATATACACAATCAGTTAGGAAAGCAAAGGCTATCTTTTTCAAACAGAAATGTGCATCCTGTAGCACTAACTCCAAAAAGTTTTGGGACACTGTAAAGTCCATGGAGAATAAGAGTACCTCCTCCCAACTGCCCACTGCACTGAGGCTAGGAAACACTGTCACCACCGATAAATCTACAATAATCGAGAATTTCAACAAGCATTTTGCTACGGCTGGCCATGCTTTCCACCTGGCTACCACTACCCCAGCCACCAGCTCTGCACCCTCCGCTGCAACTTGCCCATGCCCCCCCCCACCCGCTCCTCCTTTACACAAATTCAGACAGCTGATGTTCTAAAAGAGCTGAAAAATCTGGAACCCTACAAATCAGCTGGGCTAGACAATCTGGACCCTTTCTTTCTAAAATTAGCCGCTGAAATTGTCCCAACCCCTATTACTAGCCTGTTCAACCTCTCTTTCGTAACGTCTGAGATCCCCAGAGATTGGAAAGCTGCCGCGGTCATCCCCCTGTTCAAAGGGGGTGACACTCTAGATCCAAACTGTTACAGACCTATATCCATCCTGCCCTGCCTTTCGAAAGTTTTTGAAAGCCAAGTTAACAAACAGATCACCGACCATTTCGAATCCCACCGTAACTTCTCCGCTATGCAATCCGGTTTCCGAGCTGGTCATGGGTGCACCTCAACCACGCTCAAGGTCCTAAACGATATTATAACCACAATCGATAAAAGACAGTACTGCGCAGCCGTCTTCATCGACCTGGCCAAGGCTTTCGACTCTGTCAATCACTGCATTCTTATTGGCAGACTAAATAGCCTTGGTTTCTCAAATGACTGCTTCGCCTGATTCACCAACTACTTCTCAGATAGAGTTCAATGTGTCAAATCGGAGGGCATGTTGTCTGGACCTCTGGCAGTCTCTATGGGGGTGCCACAGGGTTCAATTCTCGGGCCAACTCTACTTTCTGTGTATATCAATGATGTTGCTCTTGCTGCTGGTGACGCTCGGATCCACCTCTATGCGGATGAAACCATTTTGTATACATGTAACAGTATTGCTTCCGTCCCTCTCCTCGCCCCTACCTGGGCTTGAACCAGGGACCCTCTGCACACATCGACAACAGTCACCCTCGAAGCACCGTTACCCGTCGCTCCACAAAAGCCACGGCCCTTGCAGAGCAAGGGAAACAACTACTTCAAGGTCTCCGAGCGAGTGACGTCACCGATTGAAACGCTACTAGTGTGCACCGCTAACTAGCTAGCCATTTCACACCGGTTACATACATTTGGCCCTTCATTGGACACTGTGTTAACAAACCTCCAAACGAGCTTCAACGCCATACAACACTCCTTCTGTAGCCTCCAACTGCTCTTAAACACTAGTAAAACGAAATGCATGCTCTTCAACCGAACGCTGCTACTCTCGGCGGGTCTGACCTAGAGTATGTGGATAACTACAAATACCTAGGTGTCTGGTTAGACTGTGAACTCTCCTTCCAGACTCACATTAAGCATCTCCTATCAAAAGTTAGATCTAGAATCGGCTTCCTATTTCGCAACAAAGCCTCCTTCACTCATGCTGCCAAACATGCCCCCGTAAAACGGACTATTATGGGGGATTTATTATTCTCCTAATTGATGGGATGACTAACTTAGAAAGAATGCATTCTAGACTGGGCTCATGTAGGTTGTGTCACCTGGCAAGCTGTGATTGATGTGAAGAGCTGTTTTAGGGGTTAAGATAAGATAATAATTTGTGTCTCCAAATACTAGACTATACTGGTTCTTTGTGATCTGTGAACCTTCCTTGGACGTAGGAATGGTGTCTAGGGGAGCTGGCTCTTCTCACCATGACAGGTTGTTATGATAAACTTATGCCTGGCAACCGGGATGCGCTAAGGGGCTGGGACTAGCCTGTGCGCCAACGGATTGGCTGAGTAAGTCTAAACCACGCTCAGCGTCTACTCTGATTGGCCAGTAGAGAGGTGGGGAACTCTCTCTGTCAGAGTATTTGAGGAAGAACATGTAACAATGGATTTAGTTCTCTGAAGTGCCCTGCGAGGTATTTCAAGGAGCCCCTATATACGAAACATCATATTTACCATTGAAGGTTTTACATTAATTAAAATACTAGTATATCTTAGAAGTCGTGTTGACCTCTTTTGTTCCTAATACCAGATTTGAATTGACGCAACTTTGACACTATCCTACAGATCCTTGACTTCGGCGATGTCATTTACAAAATAGCCTCCAACACTCTACTCAGCAAATTGGATGTAGTCTATCACAGTGCCATCCATTTTGTCACCAAAGCCCCATATACTACCCACCATTGTGACCTGTACGCTCTCGTTGGCTGGTCCTCATTACATATTCGTTGCCAAACCCACTGGCTCCAGGTCATCTATAAATCACTGCTAGGAAAATCCCCGCTTTATCTTCGCTCATTGGTCACCATAGCAACACCCACCCGTAGTCTGCGCTCCAGCAGGTATATCTCACTGGTCATCCCCAAAGCCAACACCTCCTTTGGCCACCATTCCTTCCAGTTCTCTGCTGCCAATGACAGGAACGAACTGCAAAAATCTCTGAAGCTGGAGACTCTTATTTCCCTCACTAACTTTAGGCGTCAGTTGTTAGAGCAGCTGTACAAAGCCCATCTGTAATTAGCCCATCCAACTACCTCATCCCCATATTGTTATTTATTTTGCTAATTTGCACCCCAGTATCTCTATTTGCACATCATCTTTTGCACATCTATCATTCCAGTGTTAATTCGAAATTGTAACTATTTTGCACTATGGCCTATTTATTGCCTTACCTCCATAATTTACTACATTCGCACACACTGTATATATATTTTCTGTTGTACACTGCTCAAAAAAATAAAGGGAACACTTAAACAACACAATGTAACTCCAAGTCAATCACACTTCTGTGAAATCAAACTGTCCACTTAGGAAGCAACACTGATTGACAATAAATTTCACATGCTGTTGTGCAAATGGAATAGACAACAGGTGGAAATTATAGGCAATTAGCAAGACACCCCCAATAAAGGACTGGTTTGCAGGTGGTGACCACAGACCACTTCTCAGTTCCTATGCTTCCTGGCTGATGTTTTGGTCACTTTTGAATGCTGGCGGTGCTTTCACTCTAGTGGTAGCATGAGACGGAGTCAACAACCCACACAAGTGGCTCAGGTAGTGCAGCTCATCCAGGATGGCACATCAATGCGAGCTGTGGCAAGAAGGTTTGCTGTGTCTGTCAGCGTAGTGTCAAGAGCATGGAGGCGCTACCAGGAGACAGGCCAGTACATCAGGAGACGTGGAGGAGGCCGTAGGAGGGCAACAACCCAGCAGCAGGACTGGTACCTCCGCCTTTGTGCAAGGAGGAGCACTGCCAGAGCCCTGCATAATGACCTCCAGCAGGCCACAAATGTGCATGTGTCTGCTCAAACGGTCAGAAACAGAATCCATGAGGGTGGTATGAGGGCCCGACGTCCACAGGTGGGGGTTGTGCTTACAGCCCAACACCGTGCAGGACGTTTGGCATTTGCCAGAGAACACCAAGATTGGCAAATTCGCCACTGGCGCCCTGTGCTCTTCACAGATGAAAGCAGGTTCACACTGAGCACGTGACAGACGTGACAGAGTCTGGAGACGCCGTGGAGAACATTCTGCTGCCTGCAATATCCTCCAGCATGACCGGTTTGGCGGTGGGTCAGTCATGGTGTGGGGTGGCATTTCTTTGGGGGGCGGCACAGCCCTCCATGTGCTCGCCAGAGGTAGCCTGACTACCATTAGGTACCGAGATGAGATCCTCAGACCCCTTGTGAGACCATATGCTGGTGCGGTTGGCCCTGGGTTCCTCCTAATGCAAGACAATGCTAGACCTCATGTGGCTGGAGTGTGTCAGCAGTTCCTGTAAGAGGAAGGTATTGATGCTATGGACTGGCCCGCCCGTTCCCCAGACCTGAATCCAATTGAGCACATCTGGGACATCATATCTCGCTCCATCCACCAACGCCACGTTGCACCACAGACTGTCTAGGAGTTGGCGGATGCTTTAGTCCAGGTCTGGGAGGAGATCCCTAAGGAGACCATCCGCCACCTCATCAGGAGCATGCCCAGGCGTTGTAGGGAGGTCATACAGGCACATGGAGGCCACACACACTACTGAGCATCATTTTGACTTGTTTTAAGGACATTACATCAAAGTTGGATCAGCCTGTAGTGTGGTTTTCCACTTTAATTTTGAGGGTGACTCCAAATCCAGACCTCCATGGGTTGATACATTTGATTTCCATTGATAATTTTTGTGTGATTGTGTTGTCAGCACATTCAACTATGTAAAGAAAAAAGTATTTAATAAGATTATTTCATTCATTCAGATCTAGGATGTGTTGTTTAAGTGTTCCCTTTATTTTTTTGAGCAGTGTATTTTTGACTTTATGTTTTGTTTTACCCCATATGTAACTGTGTTGTTGTTTTTATCGCACTGCTTTGCTTTATCTTGGCCAGGTCGCAGTTGTAAATGAGAACTTGTTCTCAACTGGCTTACCTGGTTAAATAAAAATGGGATCTTCAAGTTCTGACATAACCCACCAGTTACGTCTGTCACATTGTTTCAAGCTCTAGGCAGTCTAATGTATGTGGCTTCATCAATAATGTACATTGTATCACGTCTGAAATTTACGCGTTTGGTTGCTTCTGTAAACTCCTGAAACCTTCTCAAAAAACATGGGGGAGCAGCAAGCTCACTTCACTCTTCTCTCTCCCTGCTGCTGCTGACAAACGTCGAGCTTTTGAAAGCACATGTGTGTTTTGGCCAACTTCTCAATTTATGCAAACAATACTAACTTAGCCTGTCAGTTTGCTAGCAGCCATCTACATTTTATGAACAGCTAGCTACTGGCTAACGTTCTGCAACAGTGGCAGTGCAACTAGACAGGCTCCTACTTTTTCAGGCAGTCAATACTGGTTAGTTTACTTACTAGTTTTCAACCCTCCAAACTGAGATGCTTGCATTAGTAATTGCCACTATAGTCGAGAACGACTATCACAACACCTATCTTTGTTTTATTCTGCTGATTATTGCATAATTTTTGCTGACACACTTCACACCTTGAAGCTGCATGAGGATGACGTCATTAACTAATCGTACAATTGAAATTCATTATTGAAATCTCATTGGTCCACAGACGGTTATCATGGGCGTGGCTATCTTTGAACCTGTTCCGCTGATTGGCTTCTGGACTAACAACAGAGTAGCCGTAAGTTATTTTTCCACTCATCGAAGTTAGCTGAAAGTTTCTTGCTAGGTAGGTTAGCAAAGTGGTGAATTTATAAGTACTTATGGCAATACATATAAAGTTGTATTATAAAGTTGTTGAATAAAACTGGAATTGTATTTACCGTCCGATTTGAAGTATCGAAAAGGGCAGTAACTGGACCGCCTAACGTAAGTGGACTGCTAGCCTACCCAGCTAGCTAACGTTAGCCAGCTGAGATAACGTTAGCTATCGTGACAGGTTGTAGAGTTTCTCTGGTTGTGTACCCATAGCGTAGCCCTCTAGCTATAAGCTAAATAAATAGCTATATGGTTGTGGTTGTAACTTGCAAGTTTGTTAGAACTGGATTGTTTGCTACCTAGCAAGTTAGTTTTCTCACTTGATTAGCTGATCAAATCGGTCAGTTCAGGCCTCCTGTAGTACAGTTGGTAGAGCATGGCGCTTGCAACGCCAGGGTTGTGGGTTCGAATCCCACGGGGAGCCAGTATGAAAAATGTATGTATTCACTAACTGTAAGTCGCTCTGGATAAGAGTGTCTGCTAAATGACTAAAATGCAAATGTAGTTCACTATTTGGGGAACGCCTTAGCTATATTCGTCAAAATAAATATTTACTATGTCATCATTTGCTAATCAAATACAGTTAGTATGTTATAGGCTTATAGCTATGTCTCGTGTGTGCAACATATCTACAGTTGTTTACTAACTTAGTTCGTTTTCTACTGTTAAATTGCTGTGTTAAACTGTCAATTTTTTTCCTAGCCTAAAGCAAGTTGCATTCTATTTTTCTGGGAAATCATGGTATGACTTCATCTCTTCTGGGAAATGAATTAGGGAACTAGGCAACAAAATGTGAAAGAAAACAGTAGAAACACATTCAACTATTGGTATTAAGCTATATCAGGTGTATCTTTCTCTTCTTTCTTCGGGCTTCTCAGAGTCCCAATCCCCGCTAACTAGCCTATCCCCACACTGAATCATTTCAGTTGTGGAGTGCCTCTTTCTAGATCTGTCCCTTTTGTTTCGATGGTGATTTGCTGGGTGCATCACTGCACTCATGCATTATTCTGCTTTGGTGTTTCCATGTTTGCTTGGTTAATAAGAGGCTGTGGACTGGTTAATAAGAGGCTGTGGACACAGAGAGAATAGACCACCCTGTGAGTACATTAAAGATGAGCTCATGATAACAGTTCTGTGTGTGATGTGGGAGCCAGCCTCCTGTCAAGCTGTTCTTTCAAATGACTGCTTTTGTTGTCACAGCTGCACTGTGGTAGTACATCACTTGTCCTATTAACCATTACTTCATAGTCGCACACAGGCAGCTTTGTCCCCGGCTCTGACACATACATTACACACCCATTTGGTGCACAATATTGGATAAGGTTTCAGTGCACACACTCTGGCAGCTGTTGATTGCTAGCTATAAACATATGTACAGGCATGTATTGCACAGAGTACGGCACAGACTCCCCAAGCACAAACAAAAGCAGGCTTAAAGAGTTCACACCGACTCGAATGGCAGCTAAACAACAGAGCAGACAACCTAGTTTTCATAGCTTTATTTTTGGAAGATTTGGGGATTTCTAGATAAAGATCAATGATTTATGCAAACCCGCCCCCAAATAGATCCAATGACAAACTTTTCTCCAAAGAGCTGCTTCAAAGGTGAGCTGTCTACAATGTTCCCAAAATTAGGTATTCTGTATACTCATTGTGGCTACACTAACACTATGGGATTGTGGGGTGAAATATCCTCAATTTTAGCGTGGCTGTCAGATTCCGGCCTCACCCCGGTGTGATAATCAGTGCTTTGGTTACAGTTCTACTCATTGGCGTGGACAGATGGCTGTTGGCCGGGGCCTGCATTTAGGTCATCCACAAACACACTTTGTGACGTCATCATGCCATAACTGCAGTGCAAATGTCCCATTGGATCTATTACTGTTAGAGATGGCTCAGAATGAAGTACCCCAAAGTAATGTTACTGTTATCAAAAGTGGTCTAAAGTCAAACTGCCAAACCCATATTCAATGCCGACATCTCTTGTGCAAATTCTGCATGTGCCAGGAGGCATCTGTGCAAGCCTTAATCCCTAAGCAAAGGGAAGGATTGGTACTATATAGTTCCATCTAATTATATGAGAGACTCATTAACATACAATTGTTTTCAGAAGAAGTAGCCTAATGTGTGTAAGAGGTTTTTACTGATCAGTTCTGGTTGTTGCCATGACCTCCTATCCTTCTTGACTGAGGGATACAAGTCTCATGTCTGCTCTGCCGCCTGCTGGGGTTCTACCGGTGAGGGGTTAAACTGAGGATGGGGGTTTCCTGTTTTCCGGTGTGAACTCAATGCCGTGCTGCTCTCTGTGTCCTCTCTCTTCGTAACCACTGAGAGTCTTTCAATTTTGCTTCAAAGCGAGATGATGCATTGGTTTTATTAGGCTGTATCCACAAAGGCAACGAGCAGCTCGACAAAGAGGAGGTCTGTGGTGAACCATCCCCAGGTTGAAAGTAGATTACTCCTGGATTAGGAAAGTGATGATTCACAACAACAAGTCTTTGAATAATCTTTGTGAATGTCATTTAGTTACAGGCTGTTGCAATACTACCTACTATCAGAATATGCTTCTTTCTATGATCCACCAATGAATATTAATATGCACCTGCAGCATACATTTCAATACCGCTTACTGTTTTTTATATTTGTAATAATTGTACTCTTTTGATGCTTAGCTGGTAGCCTAATTTGGTTTTAGGAATAACCTGTTAATTAGGCTTACTCTTTACTACTAAAATGTGCGTATGGAAAGAGATGGCCTTCTTTATTATGTGGGAAGGAGGCAGCATTTGGTCTTGCACTGGTGGCGTTCCTTATCTATTATGTAGGAAGGAGGCAGCGTTTGGTCTTGCACTGGTGGCGTTCCTTATCTATTATGTAGGAAGGAGGCAGCGTTTGGTCTTGCACTGGTGGCGTTCCTTATCTATTATGTAGGAAGGAGGCAGCGTTTGGTCTTGCACTGGTGGCGTTCCTTATCTATTATGTAGGAAGGAGGCAGCGTTTGGTCTTGCGCTGGTGGCGTTCCTTATCTATTATGTAGGAAGGAGGCAGCGTTTGGTCTTGCGCTGGTGGCGTTCCTTTTCTATGATTACTGGGCTTTCTTATCACTGTACAAAAAATGGGTTTTCAGCGCAGTCGTAACTGTGCAGATCCTTTTTCAAACTTCTTTCGTCAGCCAGGCTACTTTCCCTACTTCTCGCTAAATAATACAAGTTTAATCAATTTGCAATTATAATTATCGTTGCTGTGGTGGTTACATGTTCTCTTTTGCCTACCAATGACTTTCATATACAGGATATTACATGTGCCTGTGGTGATTGGGAAAAATCCTCTACTGCTTCTCTGCTTGCCTAGGCCAACTGTATCCTTACCCTTTGGTAGATCCTGAGCACTGGTGATTGACTCATTGATTGACAGCTTGCGTGTGGTGTGGGGGTGAACCCACCATCCACTCCTTTCTCACACTCCTGCCCTGCCCTGAGTGTGCACGCTGTTTAGTGGGTGTTGCCATGGTGTCGCATGGCCAGAATGAGGCTTCACACACGGCATCTTGTGTTCTCTTCACAGAGGGCTGCTGAGCAGAGCCGTGGTGGCACTGACAAGCCAAACTCAAGTAGGATAAATGCAGCCTCGTGGACTGATGGGCAACTGTCTGTCTGGGGATCTCTGTCTGGGGCTGTGGTCATGTCTCTAGACGGACTAACAGTCGAAGGACAAACAACCTTACCAAAAAAAAGGAATATTAGGATTTTCCATCAACTCTTGTTGTGAAGGTTCTGACCACTTCTAGGTCCATCAGATGTTTTTTGACTTTTCTTTTTTTCATTATCATAATTTTTTTTGGATTTAAACTGGGATCGTCCCACATATGATCTTCAATGGATTCCGTTGGCTCTTTGGTTAGCGTTCAAGATAAGGACCAGTCATATCATGTCCGATACAGGTAGGTATGACCTTCCTCATACCCCCATGCATTATACTGTCACTGTCTCAATCTTTGGTCAACATATTTTGTTTCATGTACGGCCTAGATTGGGTGCTTTAAACTTTCCTTCATAGTAGTGATTTATTTTGTCATTTAAAAAAAAAAGAGTTGGAACAAGAATTTAACAACAATGATCATTGTAGGATTTTACACATGTACACAGTAGATCAAGTAGCCTAGATCTCATACGATCTCATAAATCTGTTGCATGGGATGAGATCAGATTTTCCATAGCTTTCAGGTGTGAATTGGTAGGCTAGATTTCCCTCCATTTAACTGAAGTTGTGAGATGAAGTTCCATGGAAGTGGAGTTGAGTGACAGTGATAGTGGGAATGTAGACTGACTAGCTGAGCTGTAGACTGACTCCTGTTCCCATGTTTGATGACTCGTGGCAGACTGGCAGGTCACTGACTTTCATAGGAGTCACCCAGCACCTGGCCCAATGTAAAGAGCACCCACCGGCAGGTGTGACCTGGGAAAAACAGGAAGAACTGTCCAGGCTTCTCAATCAATATTTAACAAGCCTCTGAAACATTCATGATGATTTGCTTTGTATTACTAGTTTCCAAATTAATTGACTCAACTTCTTTGAAAGGAGTGGAGGGACATCTGTTTGGTAGAAGGCACCATGGTTGTATGTTCAACCATGTTCATCTCTATCTATAGGATTTATAAGCATTTTCCTGGTCAACCATTAAAATGCATTTGAGCATTAGCGCTGAGGTGACAATCATGGCATATCTGTTCTCAAACGCTTCAATGTTAGTGTTAAAGGTAGGCCTAACTCACTCCCAGTCCAACCTTGTACATTTAATTGAATAACTTAAACCTAGTAGAGCTGGCACGATAAACCGAAAAGTTTGAAATTAAATAATTTTGATAATATGGGTGATTGTTAATGGGACAATTGATGGCTACAACCATCAAACTAGAAGTAGTAGTTTAAAGGATAATAAGCCCTGCAGCTTTGTAAGCAGGGTCTGTATAACCACTGTAGGACCCACTGTAGTAATTCCAGCCAGGTGACAAGGCCAGAGAGGAGAGAGACAAGTAGATTACCTCATGGAACGCTGACAGTAGATTTTCCCCTTTTATCCTTAGGGTTAGCCTACTTTACCGCAACCGTAGTGTGTGGCGTGCAAAAATATGGTCGTTGGTGACTTGTGGGAATGGAAGGAGATCTTTTCAATGTTTTTGGTAAAATATTTTCAGTGAGACATTGAAGAGAGTAGGCTACCTTAGCCCTTGTCCGGAATGTGTTTAGCTCTCGACTGTTGCACAGGTATCATCTTTAAACCCAGTGGAAGCCTCTTTAGATGTCGCTCAGACGTGCCATGTGCTGTTGTAGGAGGAGAAAAAACCCCAGGTATGGTTGTAGTGTGTGGTTAGAAATAACCACAGTAGGGTAAATCCAGTATCTGTCACTATACAGTACAATCATTGATTTTAATTTCATCTGCAAGACCGACAACAGCTCAGTGTAACATTGTTCATAGTCTGTAAACAGTGAAAAATTCCTTTTATTTAAATACAGTAAACAAAACTATAGATTTTTCCCTTCAATATCAATGTTATAACCCTTTTTAGTTTCATAATGCATAAAATGTGTTTAGTAGGTCAGGTCTAATGTCAGTCAGTATTCTGTGAGAGCTTTCTAAACAGAACACTGGGTGGGTGGGGGGCACTTGATATAAGAGGGAAAACTTGAAGTAAAAAAACATGCATGAATACAGTTAATCTCCTCTAACAAAGCGGTGTGTGTTTTTGCAGTAGAACACAAAGGATGGCAGAGACCGTAACAATTGAAGCCAGGCTGCATGAATATCACTAATCTGCTCCTAATCTGTTAATCCACCTGCTTCTGTGGATGCTCCTCTGACCCTGCCTGGGGTTAAAGTGACCGAAACACCCAGAATGTTACAGCATCCTGAGCGTTGCAGATGTAATGTCCACATCTTGCTCAGTCCCTATTCTACACAGCAGAGAACCATGCCTGTAGACAATACACTTCTGTCTGAATGTTCTGTAAACATTGAGCCCACTGAATAGCCTAGTCCTCCACGGAGCTGTCTGCGAGATCGCTGCGTATTGTACTGTAGAGAGGAAGTCAGCCCTACCATAACAAACAAACCTCTGATAAACCAAGGCTATTGTCCTCAGAACTAAGAAGGAAGTAGCCAAACAAACTCCACATTCACAGTCTCTGATGGAGAGTGAGAGGGAAGGTAGTCATACGTTTCTTCTGCTTCTATAACTTGAACACTTAGGCTAATGTGTGGCTTTGGTTTCTAGTTTATTTGAACTGTGGCCACTTTGGAACGTTTAGGCTCAATAAACTTGGGTTGTTTTGGACAATACTATTTTCTCCCGTCTGTGCCTACTGAACGCCACCAGCTCCATAGATCAACAATTCTATATTTTACCTAAACCGCCTCTGCTGCCCCCTGTAGGATGGAGGCGTCCTGCCTGGAGCTGGCCCTGGAGGGGGAGCGGCTCTGTAAGGTGGCCGACTACAGCGCGGGGGTGTCCTTCTTTGAGGCGGCCATCCAAGTTGGCACTGAGGACCTGCAAGTGCTGAGTGCTATCTATAGCCAGCTGGGCAACGCCTACTTCCACCTGCATGACTACGCCAAGGCCTTGGAGTTCCACCATCATGATCTCACCTTGACCAGGTAGGAACACACCGATCACCAGGTAGGAAGGAACACACCGATCACCAGGTAGGAAGGAACACACCGATCACCAGGTAGGAAGGAACACACCGATCACCAGGTAGGAAGGAACACACCGATCACCAGGTAGGAAGGAACACACCGATCACCAGGTAGGAAGGAACACACCGATCACCAGGTAGGAAGGAACACACCGATCACCAGGTAGGAAGGAACACACCGATCACCAGGTAGGAAGGAACACACCGATCACCAGGGAGGAAGGAACACACCGATCACCAGGTAGGAAGGAACACACCGATCACCAGGGAGGAAGGAACACACCGATCACCAGGTAGGAAGGAACACACCGATCACCAGGTAGGAAGGAACACACCGATCACCAGGGAGGAAGGAACACACCGATCACCAGGGCCGTATTAATAAAGCTTCTCAGAGTAGGACCAGGTCATTGTTCCCTCTTATCAGCATGACCTCACCACATAATTCAGCTGTCTGGACGTAAGCATTTTGCCATTTAAAGTAGATGAGCTTTTCCATCCCATGATTTAATGATGACATTTTACGATCCCATTCTCAGGACCATCGGGGACCAGCATGGAGAGGCTAAAGCCAGTGGTAACCTAGGCAACACGCTGAAGGTGTTGGGTAGGTATGATGAGGCTGTGGTCTGCTGTCAGAGGCACTTAGATATCGCCATGGACCTGCACGACAAGGTGAGATTGATTAATGAATCAACTGATTTGCGGTTTATTCCGGTGTTTAAATGCAGCTTTGGCTTCTTTTACGGTTTTGGAATTGACATTGGCTCTGTTCTTCTGTCTCTTCGTTAGGTGGGGCAGGCGAGGGCGCTGTATAACTTTGGGAACGTGTATCATGCCAAAGGCAAGACCATCTGTTGGAGCGGTGCGGAGCCTGGAGAGTTCCCTGAGGAGGTCATGACTGCACTTAGGAAAGCAGCGGAATACTACGAGTGAGTTAGTTTGTGTGCAGGCATTTTGTTCATGTGCCTTAAGTCAGGTACTGTAGAGTAGAATATTATATACAGTACCAGTCAGAAGTTTGGACACACCTACTCATTCAAGGGTTTTTCTTTATTTTTACTATTTTCAACATTGTAGAATAATAGTGAAGACATCAACACTATGAAATAACACATATGGAATCATGTAGTATTTTATATTTGAGATTCTTCAAAGTAGCCACCCTTTGCCTTGATGACAGCTTTGCACACTCTTGGCATTCTCTCAACCAGCTTCATGAGGTAGTCACCTTGAATGCATTTTAATTGACAGGTGTGCCTTGTTAAAAGTACATTTGTGGAATTTATTTCCTTCTTAATTCATTTGAACCAATCAGTTGTGTTGTGACAAGGTAGGGTTGGTATACAGAAGATAGCCCTATTTGGTAAAAAACCAAATCCATATTATGGCAAGAACAGCTCAAATAAGCAAAGTGAAACGACAGTTACTTTAAGACATGATGGTCAGTCAATCTGGAAAATCTCAAGAACTTTGAATGTTTCTTCAAGTGCAGTCGCAAAAACCATCAAGCGCTATGATGAAACTGGCTCTCATGAGGACCGCCAAAGGAAAGGAAGACCCAGAGTTACCTCTGCTGCAGAGTATAAGTTCATTAGAGTTACCAGCCTCAGAAATTGTAACCCAAATAAATGCAAAAGTAACAGACACATCTCAACATCAACTGTTCAGAGGAGACTGTGTGAATCAGGCCTTCATGGTCGAATTGCTGCAAAGAAACCACTACTAAAGGACACCAATAAGAAGAAGAGGCTTGCTTAGACCAAGAAAAACAAGCAATGGACATTAGACTGGTGGAAATTTGTCCTTTGGTCTGGAGTCCAAATTTGAGATTTTTGGTTCCAACTGCCGTGTCTTTGTGAGACGCAGTGTGGGTGAACGGATGATCTCCGCATGTGTATTTCCCACCGTAAAGCATGGAGGAGGAGGTGCTATGGTGTGGGGGTGCTTTGCTGGTGACACGGTATGTGTTATTTTATAGATTTGATGTCTTCACTATTATTCTACAATGTAGAAAATAGTAAAAAATAAAGAATAACCTTTGAATGAGTAGGTGTTCTAAAACTTTTGACCGGTAGTGTACATATACAGTACCAGTCAAAAGTTTGGACACACCTACTCATTCAAGGGTTTTTCTTCATTTTTTACTATTTTCTACATTGTAGAATAATAGTGACGACATCAAAACTATGAAATAACACATGGAATCATGTAGTAACCAAAAAAGTGTTAAACAAATCAAAATATATTTTATATGTGAGGTTCTTCAAATAGCCACCCTTTGCCTTGATGACAGCTTTACACATTCTTGGCATTCTCTCAACCAGCTTCAACAGTCTTGAAGGAGTTCCCACATATGCTGAGCACTTGTTGGCTGCTTTTACTTCACTCTGCCGTCCGACTCATCCCAAACCATCTCAATTGGGTTGAGGTCGGGGATTGTGGAGGCCAGGTCATCTGATGCAGCACTCCATCACTCTCCTTCTTGGTAAAATAGACCTTACACAGCCTGAAGGTGTGTTGGGTCAGTGTCCTGTTGAAAAACAAATGATAGCCCCACTAAGCCCAAACCAGATGGGATGGCGTATCGCTGCAGAATGCTGTGGTAGCCATGCTGGTTAAGTGTGCCTTGAATTCTAAATAAATCACAGACAGTGTCACCAGCAAAGCACCGTAACACCACCACCTCCATGCTTTTTGGTGGGAACCACACACAGAGATCATCCGTTCACCCACACCGCACCTCGCAAAGACACTGCGGTTGGAACCAAAGGACAAATTTCCACCGGTCTAATGTCCATTGCTCGTGTTTCTTGGCCCAAGCAGGTCTCTTCTTATTATTGGTGTCCTTTTAGTAGTGGTTTCTTTGCAGCAATTCGACCATAAAGGCCTGATTCACACAGTCCCCTCTGAACAGTTGATGTTGAGATGTGTCTGTGACTTGAACTCTGTGAAGCATTTATTTGGGCTGCAATTTTTGAGTCTGGTAACTCTAATGAACTTATCCTCTGCAGCAGAGATAACTCTGGGTTTTCCTTTCCTGTGGCAGTCCTCATGAGAGCGAGTTTCAGCATAGCGCTTGATGGTTTTTGCGACTGCACTTGAAGAAACTTTCAAAGTTCTTGAAATGTTCCGTATTGACTGACCTTCATGTCGTAAAGTAATGCTTTTTGCTTATTTGAGCTGTTCTTGCCATAATATGGACTTGGTCTTTTACCAAATAGGGCTATCTTCTGTGTAGTGTACAGTGCCTTTGGAAAGTATTCAGACCCCTTGACTTTTTCCACATTTTGTTACATTACAGCCTTATTCTAAAATGGATTAAAGAAAACTTTTTCCTCAGCAATCTACACACAATACCCCATAATGACGAAGCGAAAAATAAAAAAACTGAAATACCTTACTTACATAAGTATTCAGCCCCTTTGCTATGAGACTCCAAATTGAGCTCAGGTGCATCCTGTTTACATTGATCATCCTTGAGATGTTTCTACAACTTTGAGTCCACCTGTGGTACATTCAATTGATTGGACATGATTTGGAAAGGCACACACCTGTCTATATAGGCCCAGTGTAGCTCAGTTGGTAGAGCATGGCATTTGCAACGCCAGGGTTGTGGGTTCGATTCCCACGGGGGGCCAGTATGAAAAATGTATGCACTCACTAACTGTAAGTCGCTCTGGATAAGAGTGTCTGCTAAATGACTAAAATGTAAAATGTATATAAGGTCCCACAGTTGACAGTGCATGTCAGAGCAAAAACCAAGTCCTGAGGTCAAAGGAATTGTCCGTAGATCTCCGAGACAGGATTGTGTCGAGGCACAGATCTGGGGAAGGGTACCAAAACATTTCTGCAGCATTGAAGGTCTCCAAGAACACAGTGGCCTCCATCATTCTTAAATGGAAGATGTTTGGAACCACCAAGACTCTTCCTAGAGCTGGCCGCCTTGCCAAACTGAGCAATCGAGGGAGAAGGGCCTTGGTCAGGGAGGTGACCAAGAACCTGATGGTCACTGACAGAGCTCTAGAGTTCCTCTGTGGAGATGGGAGAACCTTCCAGAAGGACAACTATCTCTGCAGCACTCCACCAATCAGGCCTTTATGGTAGAGTGGCCAGACGGAAGCCACTCCTCAGTAAAAGGCACATGACAGTCCGCTTGGAGTTTGCCAAAAGGCACCTAAAGACTCAGACCATGACAAACAAGATTCTCTGGTCTGCTGAAACCCAGAATTAACTCTTTGGCCTGAATACCAAGCATTACGTCTGGAGGAAACCTGGCACCATCTCTACGGTGAAGCATGGTGGTGGCAGCATCATGCTGTGGGGATGTTTTTCAGCGGCAGGGACTGGGAGACTAGTCAGGATGAACAGAGCAAAGTACGGAGAGATCCTTGATGAAAACCTGCTCCAGAGCACACAGGACCTCAGATTGGGGCGAAGGTTCACCTTCCAAAAGGACAACGACCCTAAGCACACAGCCAAAACAACGCAGGAGTGGCTTCGGGACAAGTCTCTGAATGTCCTTGAGTGGCCCAGCCAGAACCCGGAGTTTAACCCAAACAGACATCTCTGGAGAGACCTGAAAATGGCTGTGCAGCAACGCTCCCCGTCCAACCTGACAGAGCTTGAGGGGATCTGCAGAGAAGAATGGGAGAAACTCCCCAAATACAGGTGTGCCAAGCTTGTAGCCTCATACCCAAGAAAACTCAATGCTGTAATCGCTGCCAAAGGTGTTTCAACTAAGTGCTGAGTAAAGGGTCTGATTACATATGTAAATGTGATACTTCAGGCTTTGTCATAATGGGTGTAGATTGAGGAGAAAAAACAATTTAATCAATTTTAGAATAAGGCTGTAACATAACAATGTGGAAACAGTCCAGCGGTCTGAATACTTTCCGAAGGCACTGTGTGTGTATGTATATATGTGTGTGTGTGTGTGTGTGTGTGTATATGTATGTATATATATATATATATATATATATATATATATATATATATATATATATATATATATATATATATACTTAGAAATGTAATTTTTTTGTCCATTAAAATAACATCAAATTGATCAGAAATACAGTGTAGACATTGTTAATGTTGTAAATGGCTATTGTAGCTTGAAACGGCTGATTTCTAATGGAATATCTACATAGGCGTACAGAGGCCCATTATCAGCAACCATCAGTCCTGTGTTCCAATGGCACGTTGTGTTTGCTAATCCAAGTTTATCATTTTAAAAGGCTAATTGATCATTAGAAAACCCTTTTGCAATTATGTTAGCACAGCTGAAAACTGTTGTGCTGATTTTAAAGAAGCAATAAAACTGGCCTTCTTGAGACTAGTTGAGTATCTGGAGCATCAGCAGTTGTGGGTTCGATTACAGGCTCAAAATGGCCAGAAACAAATAACTTTCTTCTGAAACTCATCAGCCTATTCTTGTTCTGAGTAATGAATGCTATTCCATGCGGCTATTTTTTGTTGTTATTTTTAAACAATGTTTTTTTCAACGTTTTGTCTGTATTTTCAGAGCAAACTTATCCATAGTGAAGGAGCTTGGAGATCGTGCCGCCCAGGGCCGAACATACGGTAACCTTGGCAACACACACTACCTGTTAGGAGACTTCCGGAATGCAGTGGCATCACATGAACAGGTAATTAAAATCTGATCAAAGTGTATAACATGCCATTAAGTGCTCGATTCAGTCAAAACGGCACTGCTAAAACACACCCTTTTATCCTTTGGCCAAACGGAATAGAGTGGTTTTGTGTACCGTAGTAGAAATACCAGTTAGACTCCCCTCACTGGAAGATGAGTAGTAGTTTGTACACAAAGGAACTCCATAAACATTACTGAGGCAGGTTTGATTAAATCTAGCCATTAGTCTTTTGTCAGATAGATTTCCATTTTCTGTGGTTCTCTGTAGTTCATTATAATGTCCTGTATGGCTCATTTCAATCCAGAAAGACTGGAGGTAAACATATGACACAATGGAAGACTAGAGTCACTGGCTGTACCGAGACCAAGGTGGTGTTGTAATGTGTGTGTTCGTCCATTTCTTTCCCAGCGCCTCCAGATTGCCAAGGAGTTTGGCGACCGCTCGGCAGAGAGAAGGGCCTACTGCAACCTGGGGAACGCCTATATCTTTCTGGGGGAATTTGAAGTGGCAGCCGAGCATTACAAGTGAGCCAAACCCCCCAGCCCAGCCGTTCTTCTTCTCTTAATAAAGTTCACTCCCCCTGAGAAAACAACCCTTCTGTCAGTCTGGAGGGTTAACACCGTTAGAACGCCGTAGGGTTTCAGTCTGGAGGGTTAACACCGTTAGAACGCCGTAGGGTTTCAGTCTGGAGGGTTAACACCGTTAGAACGCTGTAGGGTTTCAGTCTGGAGGGTTAACACCGTTAGAACGCCGTAGGGTTTCAGTCTGGAGGGTTAACACCGTTAGAACGCCGTAGGGTTTCAGTCTGGAGGGTTAACACCGTTAGAACGCCGTAGGGTTTCAGTCTGGAGGGTTAACACCGTTAGAACGCCGTAGGGTTTCAGTCTGGAGGGTTAACACCGTTAGAACGCCGTAGGGTTTCAGTCTGGAGGGTTAACACCGTTAGAACGCCGTAGGGTTTCAGTCTGGAGGGTTAACACCGTTAGAACGCCGTAGGGTTTCAGTCTGGAGGGTTAACACCGTTAGAACGCCGTAGGGTTTCAGTCTGGAGGGTTAACACCGTTAGAACGCCGTAGGGTTTCAGTCTGGAGGGTTAACACCGTTAGAACGCCGTAGGGTTTCAGTCTGGAGGGTTAACACCGTTAGAACGCCTTAGGGTTTCAGTCTGGAGGGTTAACACCGTTAGAACGCCGTAGGGTTTCAGGAGAGATGGCAGCAGCTATGCCTCTAAGGACACATTATAATGTCCAGAGGGTCAGCAAACAGATGAGTGTGTGTGTGTGTGTGTCTGCATGTATGCATTGTGCATTCATATACTGAAGTTAATTTCAGGAACAGATTAGCCTTTTGGGGTATGTGTCACTATGAATGAGAGACAGTGATGTGATGTGGTTGTGGTTGTCAGGAGGACTCTGCAGCTGGCCAGACTGCTGAAGGACCGAGCTGTAGAGGCTCAGGCCTGTTACAGTCTGGGAAACACCTACACATTGCTCCAGGACTACGATAGGGCCATAGACTACCACCTCAAACACCTCATCATCGCACAGGACCTCAACGACAGGATTGGTGAGGGCCGGGCGTGCTGGAGTTTAGGGAACGCTCACACAGCACTGGGGAACCATGACCAGGCCATGCACTTTGCTGAGAAACACCTGGAGATCTCCAAAGAGGTAGACTACACTATCATGAGTAGGGCTATTGCGGTGAGCATATTACCGCCACACCGGCGGTCACGAGTCATGAAGGCAGTCAAATTCCACATGACCGTTTAGTCACGGTAATTAGGCTTCTCCAAGCTCTGATGCTGCTGATGGTGCTTCGGAGCGCGCAGCACTCAGGGAGAAGGGCACAATGCAGCACTCCGGGCCAAGGGCACAACGGCCACTGATTTTTTTTAGGGTGCATTATGGCCACAAAGGGGATGCCGGCGTGAAATTCAAGGCATTATCAAGTGCTTGTCAAATTGTGAATGAGAGACTGATAAAGTGTGTACAGCCTGCGCAAAAAACAAAGCAGAGCTCATGCCTTTCAAGTGACTTTTTTTCAAATCGTCATTAGTCGCATCATGCAGCCTTAGAATGTATTAAAAATCAAAACATATAGCCCAACGTTTGTAGAACAACTAAAGTTACATTAATAACTCTAAATTAAGCATATAGGAGTACCTATTTCTTTGTTAACCACTCAACACAGAATAGCCGCATGTGCGCACTCCCTCAAATAGTTTGGAGAAAATATTTATTTTATTCAGCTTTGTTCAATTGAATTCTTCATACTATAAAATAATGCCACGGAATTCTGAGCAAATCTTGTCTGCTAAATGAACTAGTGTAGCCCACAGCCATTTGGCATAGCCAGATCAGGACCTAACATAAGGACAACTCAGAGTATGCTATTCTGTTCTTCTGAAATAGACTACATTTTCTTCACATCATGCTTCTTTAGACCTGTCTAAAATAAATAATGGATTTATTGTAAAGGTGTAGGCTATACTACATGGATTTATTAGACCTTTTTAAAATGTAGATGTTCTAAAGGTCTGCATCAGTGGCTTGTAGGCTATGTGTGGAAGCCAGGAGATGCTAAATGTGTTTATGTTAATTACGGTCAATTACCATGAGACCGACAGTTATTTGCTTGACAATCACCGGCTGATGAAATTTCGTGACCGCCACAGCCCTAATCATGAGACCCACCTTGTGAGTAGGACCACAAGTTTTTACTGAATCCTAAAATGTGTGGTCCGCTAAAACTCATGGCCGTGGAAACCATATCCATATAAAAAAATGTATCTGATTACAGCAGGGTCAATCCTAATGTGGTGTGTTTCAGACTGGTGACCGGAGTGGAGAGCTGACAGCCCGTATGAACGTGTCGGACCTGCAGATGGTGCTGGGGCTGAGCTACAGCACCAACAACTCCACCCTGTCTGAGAACCCCATCAAGGACATGGACTACAACCTGCACGGAGCCAGGCCCAGGATGGGCAGACGGCACAGCATGGAAAACCTGGAGCTCATGAAACTCAACCCAGACAAGATCAATGTAAGTTACTGGGTTTCAAAGGTGCAATCTGTAACTTTCTATTCTCTAGCCTTAGTGGCAATTCAAAGTGCACAATTGACCTGAAATTACATGTTTGTGATGTGTATTCAACACCTGTGTAAAACCTGAGTTGTATAAAGTTTGGTTTGACGTGTCTCCCCTCCCTCTTGTCTCCAGGCTCAGAAGTGGAACAGTGACATCCTGACCAAGCAGTCTAAACCCACTCTGGCTAAGAGCTCCTCCAAGCTGTTCTTCGTCAGCCGTCTGCGTAGCAAGAAGCACAAGGCTGGGGGCTCCAGTAAAGTCCTGCAGGACACCAGTAACACCCCACAGACCCCCGCACAGGGACCACAGAAGGTTAGAGGGAAAACATGATCCTTACTCCTTGCAGATGCATTTATCTAGTCCTAAACCAACTCTTAGCCGTTGACCATTCTCCTAGTTCTGAAACTACTACTGAAACTACTCCCTCTACTACTACTACTGATACTACTGATAGTACTACTACTCTACTACCACTACTGATACTACTAATCGACCATACTACTACTACTACTACTACCAGTAATACTACTACTCCTCTACTACTCTATGGATACTACTATACTCTACTATTACGTCTACTATTATTCTACTACTACTGTACTACCAATACTACTCTATTCTACTTATAGCTTATTAGAGCGGTGCTATTATGATGCAAAATAAAGTATTTAATTCTCACTCTCACTCACTAAGAGGGCCAGTCCAGACATGCTCGGGGACGAGGGCTTCTTTGACCTGCTGAGTCGTTTCCAGAGCAACAGGATGGACGACCAGCGCTGTTCCATACAGGAAAAGAGCTCCTCTGACTCTCCAGCCAGAGCCATGAGGAAATGTAAGCGTAAACACACATACTCTGTCATATGACGTTATGAAATATGGGTGTTAATACATACCCGCTTCTGACAAAATCCATGGCAAAATGTGCCTGTGATCCCAATATTGATCTCTCTCCCTCTTCTCCTCCATCTCTCTCTCCTCCAGCGGTGTCAGAGTCAGCGGCTGTAGCAGGCCTGGGCTCTGGGTCGGGTTCCCGATTGGAGGACGGTGGAGGTGCTGGGGGTAGTTTGCCAGGCCTTCGGGTCCACCAGAACAAAAGCCAGGCTGTTCTCAGCCACCTGATGGCCAACGCAGATAACGCTGAGCCTGACGACGACTTCTTCAACATGCTCGTCAAGTGCCAGGTGTGTGTAGTAAATAGACCCTTTTCATTAGGGTGGTGTTCAGTAGGGCACATTGTAGCAAAAGTTAGATCTCAGTGTTTTACATTGAAAGGTGTAAAAATCTTCCTTTTCATATAGGTAACTGTTACACTTTTTCCTCTCCTATCCCTCCCTCAGGGTTCCCGTCTGGACGACCAGCGCTGCGCCCCTCCCCCAGCCCGTGGCCCCACCGTCCCAGACGAGGACTTCTTCAGCCTCATCATGAGGTCCCAGGCCAAACGCATGGACGAGCAGCGGGTCACCCTGCCCTCCGTATCAAGGCCCTGCTCCAACTGAGCCTTGCCCAAGGAGAGGGCCCCCGACGGCAGGGTGAAAACCCAGGAGGTGAACATTGTGGAACAGGAAGGGTATTTTGTATTTGTCCACTGGTGGAGATGAGGACATTGATACTGTACTCAACAGTGGATGGGGCTATTTTATAGACTAACTTTTCAATGATTTTTTCTCTCCATAGCATAGACTATTGTGTTGCTTCCAACAATAATGGTTGTTGGGAATCGTCGATAATCCTGTCCATGGTGGGATTCAGAAGCCTCATGTTTCCAAGTTGAAAGCACTGCTGGCATTAATGTAGTCGCCTATAGGGAACCACAATATACAGTGGAACATTCAGGAACTCTAAAAGGAACCCACTGAAGGATTCTAGAATATGGAAACATTTTTCCTTATGAGGAATACTCTACTATCTGGAACTGTACTGGACATGTTGTGAAACTGCACAGACAAACATGAAGTAACATCAGATGAGTAGGTTCAGGGCATTAGGTTTTTAACAATTCTTATTTTTTTATGATTATGTACTCCATATAATTTTACTACCATCACCTGAAAATGTATCTTTAGATACGAGTCATGACTGCAGTTGTTTGTATTTATTGTACAATTTCTTTTCTAATTATTTTGTTTTAAGCTCTTGCATACTGCCATTTCACCTCCCTTTGTGGCTTGATGTGGTTGTTTTTTTGCACCAGATTTTTCTGACGTAGACTAGTCTCGGACAGGTACAGCACTATCTTTCCCGCAGGTAGCCTAGCGGTTAAGGGCATTGGGCCAGTAACCGAAAGGTCGCTGGTTCGAATCCTGAGCCGACTAGGTGAAAAATCAGCCGACGTGCTCTTGAGCAAGACACTTAACCCGAATTACTCCTGTAAGTCGCTCTGCATAAGAGCATCTGATAAATGACTAAAATGTAAATGTATTTAATTGTCTATGTGTATGTTAGGAGTTGTGGTTATGAATGGAGGAATGGGATACCTCATTTAGATAAGGATAAAAAAAAGAAATGCTCTTTCAGGCTTAATCTTTTGATAAAATAATTAATTCACCCGTGGGCATGTACAGTCCGATGCTTTTCTGTACTTCCTATATTTTTAATGACAGAGGAATAAAGCTTCATTTATTTAGTATAGAAATCATGTTTTGTCTTAATGTGTCACCAAACTCAAAGTTGAGTTAGCTGGAGAGGCGTCAAAGTAAGTACAGCTTTCCACAAGTCAACTATGAAATCACCTACCAAACCATGAGACTACGTGTGTAATTGAACTATGACAGATGGAAGCATAAGGTTCTTGAATGATACATTTCAAACTTCCGAACTTAGTACACACTTTAACTACAGTCCTATGTCACTGCATAGTATATCCTAACAGCAGTTGACTGTATTAAGGAGATCACACGTTCAGGCTGAAGGGTCAGAGGCTTTTATTTAGATACCACAGCAGGGATCACACTTCAATAAGCTCTATTCATTTCTCGTAGTCACTTTTTAAAACAAGTTTTATAAAAGCTAAATACAAGAACCACCATCTTATTTCATATCAACAGAAAATCATGACTAGACATACAATATAAAAAACTATAAATAAATAAATACATTATATTAGTTTGGCCTTATTAGTTTGAAATGAGGAACAAAGCCTGCATCTTGACACGATAAGTGTCTAGTGCTAAAAAGTGCAAACGTAAAATACAGAAACTGAAAACAATGAAAGCAAAACATGACCTCAACGGGTTTAGAGTGTTGTAGAACAACGCCGTGCTTTTTCTAAGATTTAATTGTGCGTAAGATCATCCCTTTTGAGAAATGGGCAAAGACTGCCATCTAGGTAGCAACCAGTAACATTGCAGATCTAAGTAAAGCTATCCTACAGTGAGTGTTGCTTAGAACTTAACTGTCTGGCCAAGCCAAAAAGTAGATCTGTTATTCCCTTCCATGTTGATATAAAACAAGTATTTTATTTTCCCATTTGTTAGCAAGCCATTGCAAGAAACACCATAACATCTGCCTGAAGACAGCAGTTTGCACTAAACACTGATTTGACATTAAAAACGTATAAGCAAAAAAAAAAAAGAATCCTATATTTACAAATCCAGCGAAGCGATAGGCAGACTTGCACAGTGGCGTTAGACATGGGAAAGTCCCACATTAGGGGTATATACTAGTAGTGTTGACAACAGCTAATCAATCTATAGCTGATTGATCGATGCAACAGATTCAACTCTGCTCAATAGTTGATATCCCACAATGATCACCTGATATACTGAACCACAGACATATCATCAGCAGATTAGATCACAACAGCCATTTCTTGTTTTTTTCTCAAATAATAGCAGCATGGTAACGCGCTGTAACAAACACAATGACTGTGCAAACTAACGAGGAATGTAAATTTGTTCTTGAACGATGTCACAGATGTTCAACTTTGACCCCGAAATGGAGAGGACCCATGTGGGTTTCTGTATTGATAAAGCTTTCTTGTGGAAATTGGATAACTCAAGGCACCATATGAAACAATGCACTGTAGCAAAACATCTCTCCTTATTCAACCACATAACGGAGAACATGCCAGTGTAGGGAGTGTGCTGTCATTTGTGAATTGAAATGCAGGGCTTTTGACCAAAAATGTGGGAAAAGATCTGAATTGGGCTGCCTGTGTAAAGGCAGCCTTGGATGAGTGGCGGAATGGAGTGATGGGGCAAAGCCAATGGTCAATTGGTGCACTTTTACACCTCCCCGTTGTACTTCCACAGACACACCTGTTGAACCACTAAGTACAGGATGCATTTGCCAGAGTGAGAGTTGCTCCCAGAAGCAGTGAAATCAAACCTAAAAACATCTAAAAGATACAAACAGCCACACAACCACTCTGACTTCCCTCCAGAGGGATAAACAGTCCTGTTGGTTGGAGAGAGAGTGTAGGGACAACTGGGTGCTTCCAGGTTCTGTATTATAGGTTATGCATGTCCACTTTATGTGTGTGTTCACTGGTTGTGTCTGTTGTGAGTTGTGTGCATGTTAGGGGTTGAGTGTGTGTGTACTAGGGGTTGTGTTGTGTTGAGTGTGTGTTAGGGGTTGTGTTGAGTGTGTGTGTGTCAGGGGTTGAGTGTGTGTGTGTTAGGGGTTGTGTTGTGTTGAGTGTGTGTACTAGGGGTTGTGTTGTGTTGAGTGTGTGTTAGGGGTTGAGTGTGTGTGTGTTAGGGGGTTGTGTTGAGTGTGTGTGTGTTAGGGGGTTGTGTTGAGTGTGTGTGTGTGTGTGTACTAGGGGTTGTGTTGGGTGTGTGTGTGTCAGGGGTTGAGTGTGTGTGTGTTAGGGGTTGTGTTGAGTGTGTGTGTGTTAGGGGGTTGTGTTGAGTGTGTGTGTACTAGGGGTTGTGTTGTGTTGAGTGTGTGTGTGTTAAGGGTTGTGTTGAGAGTGTGTGTTAGGGGTTGTGTGTCCAGAGTGTGACGGTACGGTCAGCGGAGGAGGAGAGGAAGGACAGGTCGCGTGTGTGCCATCTGCACTGGATTACCTTGTCACCGTGCTCCCCTACCAGAGTCAGGGGCAACGGCTTCGTCAAGTCACCTACACAGACAAAAACACATTTTAATATATTGTGTGTACAAAGAGCCTAAATCCAGTGCATTCGGAAAGTATTCAGAACCCTTGTTTTCACTTTGTCATTGTGGGGTATTTTGTGTAGCTTGATGACGAAAAAAACCGATTTATCCATTTTAGATTAAGGATGTAACGTAACAAAATGTGGAAAAAGTCAAGGGGTCTGAATACTTTCCAAATGCACTGTATATAGAAAATAGGGGTCCATTTCAGACGCAGCCACTGACTAGAAGTCTTCCTTACCTTGCAGGTTGCTGATCATGACCTTGGTGTCGTAGGAACCAGTGAGAAGGTAGTGTGCGCCGGGTGAGAACCTAACGGAGCGCACATCGCTGGAGTGGGGCCGGTACGTCTGCACCATACGTCCCCCTCTGATGTCATAAAGCATACAGCCGCTGTCCTCCTGGCCCGTCGCTAGGAGACGACCGCTAGGGTCCACCGCTACCGAGGCAACAGGACTGCCTGAGGACGAGAGGGAAGAAGATGGAGGAGAGAGGAGGAGGAGAGAGGAGGAAGAAGAGGAGGAGGAGGAGAGAAACATGTGTCTGTGGTAGCAGTACTCACCTGATCCATGGAAGGCAGTGCCCACCACTCTAACACAGCTCGGTACTCTCAGGTCCCAGAACCTCACAGTCTTGTCCTGAGAGCCTGATGCTATCATCCACCCTCCCCACGTATACAGAGACAGGATATGACCTGGGGATAAACGCACTGATCATCAGTCTCACATCGCTCTCTTGTGGAGGCCTTTATTTTCCATATAGGAACGAAGATGATTAAGTAAGTAGTACATGAGTGTGTGTGAATGAGTACTGCGCAGAAAATGTGTGTGTGTGTGTGTACCCGTGTGTCCACTGAGAGCATGTAGGCCCTGTCCTCTCTGACAGTCAGTGGTGTAGATGTTACAGTCTCCGGCCCCGGCACTGATCAGAATGGCCCCTCCACTCTCTGGACCCTCCATGAACGCCAGGTCTCTGATGGTACCGTCGTGCATACTGAACTCCAGATCTGGACCTGAGAGAGGGAGAGAAACAGAGAGAGGGAGAGTAAAACTCAAACAAAAAGAGAGTATCGATGAGAAAATAAGAACTTCAAGTATTGAGTAAAATCCAATTCAATCATTTCAGGAGATCAATTAAATGGGATTTAAAAAGGATTTAAATAGAATTGATCCCAATCCATGTATAGAGTGGATTTAAAATGGAAGAGCTTCCCAACCCTTGTAGTGAGTTTACCTGTGGCGTTGCAGGTCTCTGCGCTGAAGGGCAGGACTTTGACATATTTGTCGTTGGAGCCGGTGGCTAGCAGCTGTCCACAGTGACTCCAGGCCACACAGTAGATAGAACCCTTATGGTGCTTATTCCTCTTAAAACAAACCTCCGGCTGCTTGGTCATACCTGACATCCCACTGAGGGAGGGGAGGAGAGGGCTAAACTTAGTCTCTTAACAGCACAATACCTCACAAAGTAGTTGAACAGTAGATACACAATTTCAGGAATTATTTGGCAGTGCATGCGTGTGTGTGTGTGTTACCTGGTGTCCAGTGGTGCGTCTGGGTAGGCACACACGCGTAGCGTCTTAGAGTTGGAGCCCACAGCGTATAGCGCCCCCGTGGGATGGAAGGCTACAGCGCGCACTGCCTGAGTATCTTCCAGGGTGTTCACAGCTACAAACAGGGGTTTGGGCTTGTCCCCCTGCAACACACACAAAATGAACATCAGAGACGAGAATTAAAAAGTAGCTTGAGCAGACTTGAGAAGCAGACTTGAGAAGAACACTTCTTAGAAGTTCTCAGTCTCTCACACACACAGACCTGCCCGCACCCATATACAGTGCCTTTGGAAAGTATTCGCTCCAGAGATGTTCGATCGGGTTCAAGTCTGGGTTCTGGCTGGGCCACTCAAGGACATTCAGAGACTTGTCCCGAAGCCACTCCTGCGCTGTCTTGGCTGTGTGCTTAGGGTCGTTGTCCTTTTGGAAGATGAACCTTCGCCCCAGTCTGAGGTCCTGAGCGTTCTGGAGCAGGTTTTCATCAAGGATCTCTCTGTTCATCTTTGCCTTGATCCTGACTAGTCTCCCAGTCCCTGCCGCTGAAAAACATCCCTGCAGCATGATGCGCCCACCACCATGCTTCACCGTAGGGAGGTGCCAGGTTTCCTCCAGACGTGATGCTTGGCATTCAGGCCAAAGAGTGCAATCTGGGTTTCATCAGACCAGAGAATCTTGTTTCTCATGGTCAGAGAGTCTTAAGGTGCCTTTTGGCAAACTCCAAGCGGGCTGTCATGTGCCTTTTACTGAGGAGTGGCTTCCGTCTGGCCACTCTACCATAAAAGCCTAATTGGTGGAGTGCTGCAGAGATGGTTGTCCTTCTGGAAGGTTCTCCCATCTCCACAGAGGAACTCTGGAGCTCTGTCAGAGTGACCATCTGGTTCTTGGTTACCTCCCTGACCAAGGCCCTTCTCCCCCGATTGCTCAGGTGGTTCCAAACTTCTTCCATTTAAGAATGATGGAGGCCACTGTGTTCTTGGGGACCTTCAATGCTGCAGAAATGTTTTGGTACCCTTCCCCAGATCTGTGCCTCGACACAATCCAGTCTCGGAGCTCTACGGACAATTCTTTCGACCTCATGGCTTGGTTTTTGCTCTGACATGCCCTGTCCACTGTGGGACCTTATATAGACAGGTGTGTGCATTTCAAAATCATGTCCAATCAATTGAATTTACCACAGGTGGACTCCAATCAAGTTGTAGAAACATCTCAAGGATGATCAATGGAAACAGGATGCACCGGAGCTCAATTTCGAGTCTCATAGCAAAGGGTCTGAATACTTATGTAAATAAGGTATCTGTTTTTTGTTTTTAATACATTTGCAAAAATTTCTAAAAACCTGTTTTCACTTTGTCATTATGGGTATTGTTTGTAGATTGCTTCCGAGTGGCACAGTGGTCTAAGGCACTGCATCGCAGTGCTAGCTGTGCCACTAGAGATCCTGGTTCGAATCCAGGCTCTGCTGTAGCCGGCCGCAACCGGGAGACCAATGGGGCGGCGCACAATTGGCCCAGCGTCGTCCAAGGTAGGGGAGGGAATGGCCGGCAGGGAGGTAGCTCAGTTGGTAGAGCATGGTGTTTGCAACGCCAGGGTTGTGGGTTCGATTCCCATGGGGGCCAGTATGAAAATAAAAAAGAATAATGTATGCACTAACTGTAAGTCGCTCTGGATAAGAACGTCTGCTAAATGACGTAAATGTAAATTGTTTTATTTAATCAATCTTAGAATAAGGCTGTAAAAAGTCAAGGGGTCTGAATACTTTCCGAAGGCACTGTATGGGTTTAACATAGTGTCTTCAGAAAGTATTCATACCCCTTGACTTATTCCACATTGTTGTGTTACAGCCTGAATTCAAAATGGATTAAATATTTTTCCTCATCAATCTACACACAATACCACATAATGACAAAGTGAAAACATGTTTTTAGACATTTCAGCATATTGAAATAGAAATGCAGAAATATTACATTTACATAAGTATTCACACCCCTGAGTCAATACTTTGTAGAAGCACCTTTGGCGGCAATTACAGCTGTGAGTCTTTCTGGGTAAGTCTCTTAAGAACTTTCCACACCTGGATTGTGCAACATTTGTCCATTATTCTTTTAAAAATTCTTCAAGCTCTGTCAAATTGTTTGTTTATCATTGCTAGACAACCATTTTGGAGTCTTGCCATAGATTATCAAGTAGATTTAAGTCAACACTAACTCGGGCAGCAAGATTTGGCCTTGTGTTTTAGGTTATTGTCCTGCTGAAAGGTGAATTCATCTCCAAGTGTCTGGTGGAAAGCAGACTGAACCAGGTTTTCCTCTACGATTTTGCCTGTGCTTAGCTCAGTTTCCTTTTTATCCTGAAAAACTCCCCAGACCTTAATGATTACAAGCATACCCATATAATGATGCAGCCACCAATATGCTTGAAAATATGGAGAGTGTTACTCTAATGTGTTGCATTGGATTTGCCCCAAACATTACACTTTGTATTCAGGACAAAAAGTTAATTTGCGGTATTACTTTAGTGCTTTGTTGCAAATAGGTGCATGTTTTGGAATATGCATGTTTTGGAATATTTGTATTCTGTACAGGCTTCCTTCTTTTCACGATTAAACTCTGCAACTGTTTTAAAGTCACCGTTGGCCTCATGGTGAAATCCAGGAGCGGTTTCCTTCCTCTCCGGCAACTGAGTTAGGAAGGATGCCTGTATCTTTGTAATTACTGGGTGTACTGATACACCATCCCATGTGTAATTAATAACTTCACAATGCTCAAAGGGATATTCAATGTCTGCTTTTTTTTTTTTTACCCATCTACCAATAGGTGCCCTTCTTTACGAGGCATTGGAAAACCTCCCTGGTCTTTGTGGTTGAATCTGTGTTTGAAATTCACTGCTCGACTGAAGGACCTTACAGATAATTGTATGTGTGGGGTACAGAGATGAGGTAGTCATTCAAAAATAATGTTAAACACTATTATTGCACACATAGTGAGTCCATGCAACTTATTATGTGACTTGTTAAGCAAATGTTTACTCCTGAACTTGCCATAACAAAGGGATTGAATACTTATTGACGCAAGACATTTCCGCTTTTCATGTTTTATTAATTTATAAAAACGTTGAAAAACATAATTCCACTTTGACATTATCGGGTATTCTATGTAAGCCAGTGACAAAAACATCTCAATTTAATCAATTTTAAATTCAGGATGTAACACAACAAAATGTGGAAAAAGCCAAGGGGTGTGAGTACTTTCTGAAGACACTAATTAGCAGTATAATCTGGGTTGATCTTCTATGCCTTATGCTATTCATTATTCTGAAATAGAGCCAACAGCTCATGCTAACATACAATAGCCTTTATCACTGCTGCTCTAACTGTAATCTAATGGATTAAAATCTCCACTCATCACAGGGTATAATCCAGGATTACTGTGCATGACATCATAGTTGTTACAGGATTCCTCCCCCCAAAAAAGGATTATTCCCCCCACTGAACTGATACTCATTGCCGCCGGCTCCTATTCTATCCTATCCCAGAGAGAGTGATTAATGTCCTACTAAGCCTACAGTAGGAGTGTAGACAGAGACGGTGTGTCAGAGAACGAGAGAGAGGTACATACCTCCTTACTCCGGGTGAGGGCTCCTGGCGAGTCATCTAATCCAGAGGTCTGTCCAGCTACTGTCAGGGGACTAGAACACACACAGATATAACATGAGTACATTACTCTGTGCATACCCTGTACCAGGGTTTCCGTTGGCAGGTAAATGCGTGCTTTTGGCTGATAAAAAAAAAAATGAAAAGCTGATCAGTAAGAAATTGTTGCTGGACAAATTGTCTGGGACAAAAAATATATACATTGCCAAATAATGCTTTTTATTCATTGATGGCAATACCAGTCAGTGTGCTCCAACTTAAAAGGCAAATATACTTCATAGGATAATAAATCCTCAAGCTGCTGGGACATTAGTGTAGGGTGTGTTTCTATAATAAATCATCAAGCTGCTGGGACAGTGTAGGGTGTGTTTCTATAATAAATCATCAAGCTGCTGGGACAGTGTAGGGTGTGTTTCTATAATAAATCCTCAAGCTGCTGGGACAGTGTAGGGTGTGTTTCTATAATAAATCATCAAGCTGCTGGGACAGTGTAGGGTGTGTTTTATAATAAATCATCAAGCTGCTGGACAGTGTAGGGTGTGTTTCTATAATAAATCATCAAGCTGCTGGGACAGTGTAGGGTGTGTTTCTATAATAAATCCTCAAGCTGCTGGGACAGTGTAGGGTGTGTTTCTATAATAAATCCTCAAGCTGCTGGGACAGTGTAGGGTATGTTTTATAATAAATCATCAAGCTGCTGGACAGTGTAGGGTGTGTTTCTATAATAAATCATCAAGCTGCTGGGACAGTGTAGGGTGTCTTTCTATAATAAATCCTCAAGCTGCTGGGACAGTGTAGGGTGTGTTTCTATAATAAATCATCAAGCTGCTGGGACATTAGTGTAGGGTGTGTTTCTATAATAAATCCTCAAGCTGCTGGGACAGTGTAGGGTGTGTTTCTATAATAAATCATCAAGCTGCTAGGACATTAGTGTAGGGTGTGTTTTCTATAATAATCATCAAGCTGCTGGGAACATTAGTGTAGGGTGGTGTTTCTATAATAAATCATCAAGCTGCTGGGACAGTGTAGGGTGTGTTTTCTATAATAAATCATCAAGCTGCTGGGAACATAGTGTAGGGTGTTGTTTCTATAATAAATCATCAAGCTGCTGGTACATTAGTGTAGGTGTGTTTTTCTATACTAATCCTCAAGCTTGCTGGGGACATTAGTGTGGTGTGTTCTATATAAATCTCACACTGCTGGGACAATTATTGTAGGTGGTTGCATCAATAAATTCATCAAGCTGCGGGACAGTGTAGGGTGTGTTTTCTATATAAATCATCAAGCTGCTGGTACATTATGATGGTGTGTTTCCATAATAAATCATCAAGCTGCTGGGACATAGTTAGGGTGTGTGTTCCTATAATAAATCATCAAGCTGCTGGGACATTAGTGTAGGGTGTGTTTCTATAATAAATCATCCAGCTGCTGGGACATTAGTGTGGGTTGGTTTCTATAAAAATCCTCAGCTGCTGGGAAGTGTAGGGGGTGTTTCTATAATAAATCATCAAGACGCTGGGTACATTAGGGTAGGGTGTGTTTCTATAATAAATCCATCAGCTGCTGGGACATTAGTGTAGGGTGTGTTTCTATAATAAATCATCAAGCTGCTGGGACATTAGTGTAGGGTGGTTTTCCTATAATAAATCATCAAGCTTGCTGGGACCAGTGTAGGGTGTGTTTTCTATAATAAATCATCAAGCTGCTGGGACAGTGTAGGGTGTGTTTTCTATAAATAAATCAATCAGCTGACTGGGACAGTAGTGAGGGTGTGGTTTTCCATAATAAAATCACAAGCTGCGGGAATAGTGGTAGGGTGTGTTTTCCTATAATAATGCATCAAGCTGCTAGGACATTGTGTAGGGTGTGTTTCTAAATAAATCATCAAGCTGCTTGGGACATTCGTGTAGGGGTGTGTTTCTTATAATAAATCATCAAGCTGCTGGGACAGTGTAGGGTGTGTTTTCCATAATAAATCATCAAGCTGCTGGGACAGTGTAGGGTGTGTTTCTATAATAAATCATCAAGCTGCTGGGACAGTGTAGGGTGTGTTTCCATAATAAATCATCAAGCTGCTGGGACATAGTGTAGGGTGTGTTTCTATAATAAATCATCAAGCTGCTGGGACATTAGTGTAGGGTGTGTTTCTATAATAAATCATCAAGCTGCTGGGACATTAGTGTAGGGTGTGTTTCTATAATAAATCATCAAGCTGCTGGGACATTAGTGTAGGGTGTGTTTCTATAATAAATCATCAAGCTGCTGGGACATAGTGTAGGGTGTGTTTCTATAATAAATCATCAAGCTGCTGGGACAGTGTAGGGTGTGTTTCTATAATAAATCATCAAGCTGCTGGGACAGTGTAGGGTGTGTTTCCTATAATAAATCATCAAGCTGCTGGGACAGTGTAGGGTGTGTTTCCATAATAAATCATCAAGCTGCTGGGACAGTGTAGGGTGTGTTTCCATAATAAATCATCAAGCTGCTGGGACAGTGTAGGGTGTGTTTCCATAATAAATCATCAAGCTGCTGGGACAGTTGTAGGGTGTGTTTCTATAATAAATCATCAAGCTGCTGGGACAGTGTAGGGTGTGTTTACATAATAAATCATCAAGCTGCTGGGACATAGTGTAGGGTGTGTTTCTATAATAAATCCTCAAGCTGCTGGGACAGTGTAGGGTGTGTTTCTATAATAAATCCTCAAGCTGCTGGGACATTAGTGTAGGGTGTGTTTCTATAATAAATCATCAAGCTGCTGGGACAGTGTAGGGTGTGTTTCTATAATAAATCATCAAGCTGCTGGGACAGTGTAGGGTGTGTTTCTATAATAAATCATCAAGCTGCTGGGACATTAGTGTAGGGTGTGTTTCTATAATAAATCATCAAGCTGCTGGGACATTAGTGTAGGGTGTGTTTCTATAATAAATCATCAAGCTGCTGGGACAGTGTAGGGTGTGTTTCTATAATAAATCATCAAGCTGCTGGGACAGTGTAGGGTGTGTCTATTTTGACTCACGTTAAAGACACGAGGTCCTCATAAAGGACTTCAGCTAAGTGTCCTTCAACTGGGCAAGCTTTACAAAGATAGTGTTAATTATCCCTGTTTCCAGTGTGCCCGCCGAGAGGGGATTCATTCTCCAAAAACAGAGTAAAGATGGGCTCAAGATCGCGCCTTCTTTAGGACAAAGTAATGAGGTTGATGTGCATCAAGCTGCTCCAAGGAGTTGGACAGTTTTTACTTCCCAACAGCAGCGGCTCACTTTGAGCAGGCCACGGTCGTCCGCAAACGCAAGTAAATTAGAGGCTAATTATTGTGTTCGTCAGGCCCAGTCTTAGCACTTCTGCTGCCGCCCTAGGCAAGATCAACATATGCTGCCTCTGTGTCATGTATAGTATAAAGATTTGGAATGGATTGATAGATCAGAGTAGAGTAATTATGTGTATCATGAACAATTGGTGCATTTCAGTTAAGCTTATTCCGTAGCACTTGGAAACTAAACATCGTTGCCAACTATTCACATCAGAGAGTTACAATCACTAGGCAGCCAACTGCCTATAGTAAGAAACAGAGTTCTCAATAAGCCTCGTATAATCACACATGACACGAGTTGCGACCCCACGATAGTTCAAATTACAACAAACATACCATTTATTAACATCATCCAGTAGAACTGTAAAAAGAGTGAGATATAAATTGAGCTTTGGAAACAAGTGCTTTCATAAATGCATGGCGTGGGCCTCGCTTCACAGCAGCATTGTAAAATAAGATTTCTCTCAATGAACCAGCCTTAACGAATTTAGTTCATTTACATATTGAATTTGATTGTCCAACATCACTTTGATAATTTCTTCATTTTCTGGCCGCCTAGTGGCCTCTTTCCACTGCTGTGGTGCTGAATGGCAGCGGAAATGGGGCAGACCGGCCCTGGTGTTCCTCCACCACCTCTCCCCAGTTTTGTTATTTACTAGGCCTATTTAAAATGTTCATGCCTAGGCTGTTAAATTAGAGAGGCCTAGATTGTATTTGAAAACAGCTGAGTTTTGTTATTTATTAATTAAAATGTTCATACAAACAGCCTATAGGACAGGTCGTTCGCAAATTATATTATACAATATTACATTTTAAAGTAGTGTTTTATTAACGTGAAGGCAACTTGTTCTAGGCTAAATGTTTTTTTATAGATTTTTTAAAATTATATTAATTGATGATTTCCAGCAGGGATAAAGACGCAACAGGCAATGTTTTGCTTTTAAATAAAACCTGTCATGTTGGTATAAGAACATTGTTTTATTACAACTTTACAGGCTAATTTCTATTCTGTTAAGATGAATTACAATAATAATGTGATTTTGAGCACAGTGGGTGGACGCTGTAATGCGTTACGCACCCAATGCATATTAATTTCTCAAATGTCCGGTAAATAAAAAGATCTTGCCGGTCACGTTGTCCAGCGCCAAATTTTCCTGACGGAAACCCTGCCATGTACACAAAGAAAAAACATGTATACACACCAGCCATACAGACAATTATGTGTATATCGTACACACACACACACACACACACACACACACACACCAGTATCTCACCTCTGGGAGACCACGGGGGATTCGTTAGGTGGGGGGACCCCCCGTCCCCCTGCGGTGCGTAGTGGGGTGCTGCTGACCACCCCTCCTCCCTGAGGGCGGCCCTGCTCGGGGGTCAGGGTCACGCTGGGGTCAGGGGTCAGGCCTGCGGGGTCACTGTTGTTGTTGTTCTCGGGGGTGGGGCAAGTGCCATTACACTGCTGGGCCAGAGACTGGACCTCCTCCCCTAGACTCTCCATCCCTACGTTCAACTCCTCCAGCTTCTGAATGGACCTGGGTAGATAGAACACACAGGTTAATACACACACACACACACACGGGTGTAATCGCTGCTGGTCTTGTGCCATGTCTCTTTAATAAAGTAATTGATGTACAGTGGGGAAAAAAGTATTTAGTCAGCCACCAATTGTGCAAGTTCTCCCACTTAAAAAGATGAGAGGCATGTAATTGTCATCATAGGTACACGTCAACTATGACAGACAAATTGAGGAAAAAAAATCCAGAAAATCACATTGTAGGATTTTTAATGAATTTATTTGCAAATTATGGTGGAAAATAAGTATTTGGTCACCTACAAACAAGCAAGATTTCTGGCTCTCACAGACCTGTAACTTCTTCTTTAAGAGGCTCCTCTGTCCTCCACTCGTTACCTGTATTAATGGCACCTGTTTGAACTTGTTATCAGTATAAAAGACACCTGTCCACAACCTCAAATAGTCACACTCCAAACTCCACTATGGCCAAGACCAAAGAGCTGTCAAAGGACACCAGAAACAAAATTGTAGACCTGCACCAGGCTGGGAAGACTGAATCTGCAATAGGTAAGCAGCTTGGTTTGAAGAAATCAACTGTGGGAGCAATTATTAGGAAATGGAAGACATACAAGACCACTGATAATCTCCCTCGATCTGGGGCTCCACGCAAGATCTCACCCCGTGGGGTCAAAATGATCACAAGAACGGTGAGCAAAAATCCCAGAACCACACGGGGGGACCTAGTGAATGACCTGCAGAGAGCTGGGACCAAAGTAACAAAGCCTACCATCAGTAACACACTACGCCGCCAGGGACTCAAATCCTGCAGTGCAAGACGTGTCCCCCTGCTTAAGCCATGTCCAGGCCCGTCTGAAGTTTGCTAGAGTGCATTTGGATGATCCAGAAGAGGATTGGGAGAATGTCATATGGTCAGATGAAACCAAAATATAACTTTTCTGCAAAGGGACCAGGACGACTGATCCGTGTCAAGGAAAGAATGAATGGGGCCATGTATCGTGAGATTTTGAGTGAAAACCTCCTTCCATCAGCAAGGGCATTGAAGATGAAACGTGGCTGGGTCTTTCAGCATGACAATGATCCCAAACACACCGCCCGGGCAACGAAGGAGTGGCTTCGTAAGAAGCATTTCAAGGTCCTGGAGTGGCCTAGCCAGTCTCCAGATCTCAACCCCATAGAAAATCTTTGGAGGGAGTTGAAAGTCCGTGTTGCCCAGCGACAGCCCCAAAACATCACTGCTCTAGAGGAGATCTGCATGGAGGAATGGGCCAAAATACCAGCAACAGTGTGTGAAAACCTTGTGAAGACTTACAGAAAACGTTTGACCTGTGTCATTGCCAACAAAGGGTATATAACAAAGTATTGAGAAACTTTTGTTATTGACCAAATACTTATTTTCCACCATAATTTGCAAATAAATTCATTAAAAATCCTACAATGTGATTTTCTGGAGAAAAAAATTATCAATTTGTCTGTCATAGTTGACGTGTACCTATGATGAAAATTACATGCCTCTCTCATCTTTTTAAGTGGGAGAACTTGCACAATTGGTGGCTGACTAAATACTTTTTTTCCCCACTGTAGTTAGATAATGACAGTCTGTCTCCAGGCACCACAGGAGCAGCTGGTGCTCAGGGTATTAGAGACACTTCATAAGACACCCTGTTAGTGAAAGAACACAACAGTCTCTCTCTAAGCATCAGTTAACATTTTGTCATCTTGTCAAACATCCTCCAGGCTAGAGCATCTCATTAACATTGAGTGTTTACCATAGATATAGAACCCTAGATAGGCTGATGTCATAGAGCCCCTATCCACAGGAAATAGAATCTGTCTACTGATACTGTATATTGTCTTTCACTCTATAATAGAGATGACATCATAGGGTCAGGCCATGTTCTCCCTTCTAGACTGTGGTGTGAATCAGTAGGACAAAGTGCTTTTGATCTCTCTCCCCATCTACCCCCCCCCTCCTCCTTATACCCCCTCCTTCCTCCCCTCCTTCTTCCCTCCTTCTTCCCTCCCCCCTCCTCCATCCCCTCCCCCCCTCCCCCCTCCTCCCCTCCTTCTTCCCTCCCCCCTCCTCCCCTCCTTCTTCCCTCCCCCCTCCTCCCCTCCCCCTCTCCATCCCTCCCCGTGTATTATTTAGAAGGGCATAATGATATCATTAGAGTTCTTTAGGGCCTTTCTTAGTTATTTCCTTTATGTTCTTCTAACTAGACTCAAAATGTTCCCATACTTTTTAAAATCATGCTGAACCCAGACTGTCCTGAATGTTTATATATAACAAGCGTGTGTCTCTCCATTGCGTCATGTTAGATCCAAGCCATGGGTTGTACAGAGAAGGCTGTACTGTCTTCTAAAGTGTTGTTTTTTTCCTAAGGGTGAGGCAATGGTGCTTGATTTAAACGATATGTTCAGCAACAACAGAGAAACCCTTATTCCATCCATTACATGCAGGAAGAAATAGTACATTACATCATGTAACATCTGAGGTCTGTGGTCTGCAACATATGGAGCAGTCCAAGAGGAGGAGAGTCATTACAGGGTTTAGGACAAAATGGAAATCAACTCATCAAAACATAAAAAAAGCAAGGCTGAGGTGAACTCATCATGTTGGTTTCAGACCGCGGTGGGTGAATAACTGACCTATTGAGGAACTGAAGTCCTGTGCTTTGTGGGTATGTCTGACCTGTTGAGGAACTGAAGTCCTGTGCTTTGTGGGTATGTCTGACCTGTTGAGGAAGGTCTCCGTGAGGCTGTGCTGCATGGCGTCTGTCCCGGGGGCTGGCTGGTCCGTGTGTTGTACCCCTCCCTCCAGCAGCATCTGCTGGTAGACTTTTCTCTGCTGCTGCTTCTGCTCCAGGTGCTGCTGTACCCTCAGACGCTGGCGGTAGAACTCCTCAAACTTCTCTGTCGAGTCACGCAGCTGAGGAGGTAACACACACACACACATTTATTAAACCACAAACCTAATTCAGAATGGTTTGAAGTACAGCCAACTTCTTACATAGTGCCATTCACATTCAAAGCCAGCATTGACGGCACACCCCTTCAGTTCTGGAATAAAAATGCCATTCATATTCACTGCCATCACTCGCCCTCTTTGATGCAGGGACCACAGCCAGTGTGAAATCCAATAACCTATTGGGCTCACACACACACAGAGCTGTGGCAGAGGGAGCCATAAAGCAGGGTCTCATCTGAAGGTGAAATCACAGTCTATTGTCCCACTCTGCTACTGGTCTGTTTATCAGTCTAATGTCCCACTCTGCTACTGGTCTGTTTATCAGTCTAATGTCCCACTCTGCTACTGGTCTGTTTATCAGTCTAATGTCCCACTCTGCTACTGGTCTGTTTATCAGTCTAATGTCCCACTCTGCTACTGGTCTGTTTATCAGTCTAATGTCCCACTCTGCTACTGGTCTGTTTATCAGTCTAATGTCCCACTCTGCTACTGGTCTGTTTATCAGTCTAATGTCCCACTCTGCTACTGGTCTGTTTATCAGTCTAATGTCCCACTCTGCTACTGGTCTGTTTATCAGTCTAATGTCCCACTCTGCTACTGGTCTGTTTATCAGTCTAATGTCCCACTCTGCTACTGGTCTGTTTATCAGTCTAATGTCCCACTCTGCTACTGGTCTGTTTATCAGTCTCCCAGGTGACAGGCGTGGCAGAGCAGGGCTGTACATTCACAGTCTGGCTGTAGGAAAGGGGGATATCTAGTCAGTTGTACAACTGAATGCATTCAACTGAAATGTGTCTTCCGCATTTAACCCAACCCCTCTGAATCAGAGATGTGCGGGGGGCTGCCTTAATCGACGTCCAAGTATAGGCTAGACAGGACAGCGGTGGCAGGGTAGAGCAGGGCTGTATATTCGCAGTCTGGCTATAGGCTAGACAGGATAGCTGTGGTGGGGCAGAGCAGCACAGGCCTTTACATTCACAGTCTCGCTATAGGCTAGACAGGACAGCGGTGGCAGGGTAGAGCAGGGCTGTATATTCGCAGTCTCGCTATAGGCTAGACAGGACAGTTGTGGTGGGGTAGAGCAGCACAGGCCTTTACATTCACAGTCTCGCTATAGGCTAGACAGGACAGTTGTGGTGGGCCAGAGCAGGGCTTTACATTCACAGTCTGGCTATAGGCTAGACAGGACAGCTGTGGTGGGGCAGAGCAGCACAGGCCTTTACATTCACAGTCTCGCTATAGGCTAGACAGGATAGCTGTGGTGGGGCAGAGCAGCACAGGGCTTTACATTCACAGTCTGGCTATAGGCTAGACAGGACAGCTGTGGTGGGGCAGAGCAGGCCTTTACATTCACAGTCTGGCTATAGGCTAGACAGGACAGTTGTGGCAGGGTAGAGCAGAGCAGAGAACAGTCTGCTCTCCTCTAAGGCTATAATTAGAGGGAAATCAGGCGACTAGTGTCCTTTGGGCTGTACTGTTCTGTAACACACACAGAGACAGAGAGAGACACAGAGACAGAGAGAGAGACAGAGAGAGACAGAGAGAGAGAGAGACAGAGACAGAGACAGAGAGAGAGAGAGAGAGAGAGAGAGAGAGAGAGAGAGACAGAGAGAGAGAGAGAGAGAGAGAGAGAGAGAGAGAGAGAGAGAGGAGAGAGAGGAGAGAGAGAGAGAGAGAGAGAGAGAGAGAGAGAGAGAGAGAGAGAGAGAGAGAGAGAGACACAGAGACAGAGAGACAGAGAGAGAGAGAGAGAGAGGGCAGGTCTCTTAGCTGTAATCCAGGCTCTGTAAACCGCAGACGATCGATGACTCAGTGAGTTTCACACGTCAGACACAGATTCATCTCAGGCCTATATTTAGACTGATGGAGGCCACCATCTTTGAAAGTAATTCTCTCTACAACCCCAATCATCACACATCAGTAGGGAAGATGACTCTGTAGGATTTGTCTGAACCGGGTAAAAAGGTCAGGGTGAGGCGCCTTTTAGACACATTTTCTAGAAATGTGTTTTTATTTAGCAAAAAAGACACTCTTCCCCACCTCCTCTCCATCAGGTATTTTACCTCGTTCCTCTCTGCAGAGCTTGGTGATGGGGCGTCCTCTCCAGGGGCGGAATCGGGGCGCAGGGTGCCTGAACTCATCATCTTATCCACGGGCGTGTCTGTCCTGGAGCTACAGAGACAGACCCAGAGAGACCACATTAAAGGACTACGTAATGTGTATGTTACTGCATCAACGACTGCTGCAATGTCCTCCAGACATTCCTCAGATAATCACTACTGTCACTCTGCTACTCCCTAATAAGTGGGTGTTGAGCAAGTCATCACTGAGCCTCTTCTTCGAGTACTTGAAGGTAGAGGCTCTCTAGTGCTTCCTACTACAGAGGTTAGTCCTCAGTCTACTCCAGGCTTAATCAAACAGGTGACGTTTGCAATCGCAACAAATAATCTGCTCAGACCCCAACCAAGGACCATCAAAAGCCGTGCTATAGATTCTCGGACAACCCAAAGATTCCTAGAGGCCCTTCCAGACTCCCTCCATCTACTCAAGGACGTTGGAGTACAAAAATCAGTTAACGACCTTACTGAGGATCTAAATATAACCTTGCGTAATACCCTAGATGCAGTCGCACCCCTAAAAACTAAAAACATTTGTCACAAGAAACTAGCTCCCTGGTATACAGAAAATACCCGAGCCCTGAAGCAAGCCTCCAGAAAATTGGAACGGAAATGGCTCTCCACCAAACTGGAAGTCTTCCTACTAGCTTGGAAAGACAGTACCGTGCAATATCGAAGAGCCCTCACTGCTGCTCGATCATCGTATTTTTCCAACCTAATTGAGGAGAATAAGAACAATCCTAAATTTATATTTTATACTGTCACAAAGCTAACTAAAAAGCAGCATTCCCCAAGAGAGGATGCCTTTCACTTCAGCAGTGATGAATTCATGAACTTCTTCCACGACAAGATCATGGTCATTAGAAAGCAAATGACGGACTCCTCTTTGAATCTGCGTATTTCTCAGCTGTCCTGAGTCTGCACACACCTGCCAGGACCTAGGATCAATGGAGGCACCCAACTTTTTTAATCCTATATCTCTTGACACATTCATGAAAATAGTAATGGCCTCTAAACCTTCAAGCTGCATACTGGACCCTATTCCAACTAAACTACTGAAAGAGCTACTTCCTGTGCTTGGTCCTCCTATGTTGAAGATAATAAATGTCTCCCTATCCACTGGATGTGTACCAAACTCACTAAAAGTGGCAGTAATAAAGCCTCTCTTGAAAAAGTCAAACCTTGACCCAGAAAATGTAAAAAACTATCGGCCTATATCGAATCTCCCATTCCTCTCAAATCTTTTGAAAAAGCTGTTGTGCAGCAACTCACTGCCTTCCTGAAGACAAAAAATGTATACGAAGCGCTTCAGTCTGGTTTTAGACCCCATCATAGCACTGAGACCGCACTCGTGAAGGTAGTAAATGACCTTTTAATGGCGTCAGACCAAGGCTCTGCATCTGTCCTCGTGCTCCTAGACCTTAGTACTGCTTTAGACACCATCCATCACCAGATTCTTTTGGAGAGATTGGAAACCTTAATTGGTCTACACGGACAAGTTCTTGCCTGGTTTAGATCTTATCTGTCGGAAAGATATCAGTTCGTCTCTGTGGACGATTTGTCCTCTGACAAATCAATTTTAAGTTTAGGTATTTCTCAAGGTTCCGTTTTAGGACCACTATTGTTTTCACTATATATTTTACCTCTTGGTGATGTCATTCGGAAACACAATGTTAACTTTCATTGCTATGCGGACGACACACAGCTCTACATTTCAATGAAACATGGTGAAGCCCCAAAATTGCCTACCCTGGAAGCATGTGTTTCAGACATAAGGAAGTGGATGGCAGCTAATTTTTTACTTTTAAACTCGGACAAAACAGAGATGCTAGTTCTAGGTCCCAAGAAACAAAGAGATCTTCTGTTGGATCTGACAATTAATCTTGATGGTTGTACAGTCGTCTAAAAAAAAACTGTGAAGGACCTCGGCGTTACTCTGGACCCTGATCTCTCTTTTGACGAACATATCAAGAATATTTCAAGGACAGCTTTTTTCCCCATCTTCGTAACATTGCAAAAAATCTGAAACTTTTTGTCCAAAAATGATGCAAAAAAGCTCATCCATGCTTTTGTCACTTCTAGATTAGACTACTGAAATGCTATACTCTCTGGCTCCCCGGATAAAGCACTAAATAAACTTCAGTTAGTGCTAAACACGGCTGCTAGAATCTTGACTAGAACCAAACAATTTGATCATATTACTCCAGTGCTAGGCTCTCTACAATGGCTTCCTGTTAAGGCTAGGGCTGATTTCAAGGTTTTACTGCTAACCTACAAAGCATTACATGGACTTGCTCCTACCTATCTCGCCGATTTGGTCCTGCCGTACATACCTACACGTACGCTACGGTCACAAGACGCAGGCCTCCTTATTGTCCCTAGAATTTCTAAGCAAACAGCTGGAGGCAGGGCTTTCTCCTATAGAGCTCAATTTTTATGGAATGGTCTGCCTATCCATGTGAGAGACGCAGACTCGGTATCGACCTTTAAGTCTTTACTGAAGACTCATCTCTTCAGTAGGTCCTATGATTGAGTGTAGTCTGGCCCAGGGGTACGAAGGTGAACGGAAAGGCACTGGAGCGACGAACCGCCCTTGCTGTCTCTGCCTGGCCGGCTCCCCTCTCTCCATTGGGATTCTCTGCCTCTGACCCTATTACGGGGGCTGAGTCACTGGCTTACTGTTGCTTTCCATGCCGTCCCTAGGAGGGGTGCGTCACTTGAGTGGGTTGAGTCACTGACGTGATCTTCCTGTCCGGTTTGTCGCCCCCTCGGGCTCGTGCAGTGGAGGAGATCTTCACTCAGCCTTGTCTCAGGGTAGTAGGTTGGTGGTCTGTTAATATCCCTCTAGTGGTGTGGGGGCTGTGCTTTGGCAAAGTAGGTGGGGTTATATCCTGCCTGGTTGGCTCTGTCTGGGGGTATCGTCGGACGGGGCCACAGTGTCTCCCAACCTCAGAGCCTGTTTCCTCTCTAGGTTTCTTCCTAGGTTTCTGCCTTTCTAGGGAGTTTTTCCTAGCCACCGTGCTTCTACATCGGCATTGCTTGCTGTTTGGGGTTTTAGGCTGGGTTTCTGTATAGCACTTTGTGACTGATGTAAAAAGGGCTTTATAAATACAATTTGATTGATTGATTGACATAATGTCAATGCTTAGCCTACCCTAGACGATGCTTGGCCATTCTTCTAGAGTAAAACTACTACAAATGAGTGGCAGATCAGTTGAATTCCTATCCTGGTCTCAGATCTGTTTGTGGTATAATGACTTGTCATGCCCTTACTACATAAAATGTTTTTAATGAATAAGTGCAACATAAATCCAAACCACACTCCTCTCTCTCACCCTTCAGGCGACTCCTCAAAGATGCTGTGGCAGTCAGAGCTCTCCAGCATCAGACTCCTGCTAAGACTCTGGCCCCCTGTGTGGAAATTAGCGAAGGAATGAGACATGGGGGACATCCCCTTCCCCCCTGCCGTGTCCCCCCCTGGGCCCCTCTTCTCCTGGCCAGACAGCCCGTACGACAGGCCGTCCAGGGCCGGGTTCAGAGACCGGGACATGTAGGTGTCGGCGGACTGGGGACGGCGGAGGGGCGAGGAGGGGTAGGGGGACAGCTTGCTGATGAGCGGGGTGAGGAGGTCTGCGTAGCTGGCCTTGGCGGGCTTGACCAGGCGGTCCACGTGGATCTGAAGCAGCTTCTGCTCGAAGGCGCAGGAGAAGACACTGTGGGACAGGTTCTGCATCCAGGAGAGTAAGGACAGATCCATGTCATCACAGCCGTTCCCACACAGCATGTCTACCCCCAGGAGCACCTCGCCCTCCGTGATCTCCTCGCCTGTCGCCTTGCTCTGGAGTCAGTGGCACACAATATATTAGTTAGTCAATCAATCAGTCCATCAATCAATCAATCATTAAACTAACTAACCAATCAATCAACCCATCCATCCTATTCACCAAGCATGAAAATCATATTATATGATATAAAATACATTATTTGTACAATGCCTTGTAACAGAACACTTGGATCCCCCACCTGACAGAACTCGACACAGCACTCATACAGAACTCCTTTAATGAGGAGCTGGAAGAGGCGGTTCCCTGAGGCCCTGAACCCCGCCTCACTCAGCTTCCTGTCTGCAGGGATGAACTCTGCCACCATTGTGCACGCCTCCTCAAAACAGTGCACCCGCGCTGTGCTGGGGTTCCAGTCCTGGAGGGGAAACATTATGCAACTTATACTTTAGTCATTTAGCTAAAAACCCATCCACACATATGACACCAGGGTCGTCTCATAATAATATATTTGGAGACAGTTGGAAAACTTCCACATTGAAAAAATAAGATAGTTATGGATGAATAATACAACATATGCTATAGAGTTATGGATTCATAATATTACATATGTTTATTATCTATAGCTATATCATAAGTGCTCATACATGCTTATAACAATGTAATAATGCCCTTTGATACCAGCTTTCAGTAAACTGTTACCAACATTTCTTCAAAGTAAATATTAGCATCAATCACAGAGCTAGAATAACAGTACGATGCCTACGATCAGATTCATTATTGTTATTATTTATAAATGAACAGGTACGATTCATAAGGTCAGATGCCATAACTATAAAATGTGTCATGCCTTAAACTCAGCGTGGTTGGTGAGACGAGGCAGAGTGAGGAGCAGACATAGCTTGCTGTAGTCATCTTTAGAGGGACAGAACTCCTCCAGAGCATGAAGACACTTCACCGCCTCCTGCATGGTGAACTCCAACTGTGAGAGAGCGAGAGAGAGAGTTTAGATTTTGGGCCACCTCACATTCACTCATGTTTCCCTCACATGTAGCAGTAGGCAACTTGATGCAGTGTAGAGGGTTCTCACAAAAACAAAACATGCTTTTATGCATATTTATTCATTTATTTTATGCATATTTATTCATTTCTAGAGGCAATGTAGCACTATCCATCCTCATCCCTCAAGACTCAACATTCCCTCAGAGACAGAGAGGATGAAAAATTATGTTTTGATCATCAAAACCCAGCATGTCTGTAGATCCTGTTGAAGAGTAGCTACTTGTTATCGGTTTCTGAGGCCAAGATTATAACTGCCAGGGTAGAAGGGCTCAGATCTCTATCATGTCCAAGGAAAACAATGTCAGCGTTGCTTTGAAGTGCTTCGAATAAATGTGTGAAAGAGATTTTCACGAGAAACAAATCTAGACCTAACACAATAAACACATAGAAACTTGCTAAATCAGACTCACGTGTCACACACACTAACTCATGCTGGGCAAATGATCAGAATTGGGCTGCCTGTGTAAACACAGCCTTATACACAAACACAGGAGGAGCCCACACTAATCGAGTCAGGAGACAAGCTGGACTCAGATCTGCACTGTCTGTGACAACGCTCATATAGGACAATGAGTAGAGAAAGCTCAATGATTGTGTGTTTACTAGGAGCAAAAAAGAGGCAGTGACAGATGGAGAAAGAAAGGAGGGCTGTTTGGTGATTCCTGGCTCATTCAGAGGGAGACAGAGTAAAGGAGACAGAGGAAAGGAGGCAGAGGAAAGGAGGCAGAGGAAAGGAGACAGGAAAACAAAGACAGGGAGATGGAATATGTAATGACAAAGACAGACACAACTAGAACAATGTCCAGCAAGGAAGGAAGGAAGGAAGGAAGGAAGGAAGGAAGGGAGAGAGAGAGACCCTATTCATACTACAGCTATTAGCACATAGCTGATGTAAATCCCTGTACATAGCTGATGTAAATCCCTGTACATAGCTGATGTAAATCCCTGTACATAGCTGATGTCACACTTGAAATATCTATCTTAAACCTTTTTGAGTGCAATATTTACTGTTAAATCGTAATAGTTTGTGTTCTCATTTTTGTTTATTACACTTGCTTTGGTAATGTAAACACCCCCTTTAATTGAATTGAGAGTCTATTCTTTGTCTGTTGACTCACATGCTGTGGCTCGTCCTCAGCAGACATTGCGTTGTTCACACACAGGGCCTCTAGAAACTTCTGCTTCAGGACGATGTAACGGAACCTACGACAACAAAATAAAGTATAGCCCCAGAACATGTCTCAGAAAAGTCATTCAAACCCTGTACATTCTAGCCTAGGTGTCAGGTTGCTAATGTATAGTTGGTTTGGCAAGGCAATAATGTAGCATTGCTAAGTGCAGAAATGGGCAGGTACAGTCAGACTACGTCTGTGTCGTATTAACGAAGCCTCACTTTTTCCTGTCAAACTTGTCCATGCACTCCAGCGGCTGAATAAACTGAAGCACCTCGTCCCACTGCCCATCCAGCACCAGTTGCCTGGACAGAGATAAACAATTCAACAAAAAAGGTGAGATAATAAATCAGGTGTAATATACTCAATAAAGAGTTCAGTCTTAGTGACACCTAATGCAGCCCGTTACGTGCTCTGAGCCTATTCACACTAGCCACATCATTTCAGGAAATCTTCATAATACAGAAACAAAACCACAGAACAAAAAACGAACCAAACATGTACACAAAGGATTCTCCAATTCACTTCCCTGCTTGCCATCTCCTACTGAAACAGATTGTCATGATTGGTCAGTGTAATAAAGGGGCAGATAAAAGACAGGCAGTGAATGGTCACCCGGTAACAGTGGGGCCCTCTGTGTGAAAGGGGGTCCAACTCCAATCAGACATTTCACAAACTCAGCTGAGTGGAATGCCAAAGAGGCGTAACAGTTCACTGCTGGCTGACATTTAAAAGGGGCACGCCAATCCAGTTTATCATAGAGGTGGTCTGGATCATTATTGCATGAACAAAGGAATTTATGCTACACTTTCTGAACATTGTGTTTCAGCATTAGTTTAGCATCCAGTGACCTATTAATATGAGCCTGAAAAATGCCACTTCCATGGAGTTAATGAAAATTCTTTGGAATGCTGAACAGCAACAATTTCATCTAATTAGTCTGTCAACTGTTGTTGTGCAGCAATCGCTTATGGAGGTGTCTTGATATCCTATGGGAGAGCCCCAAACCCTTTGTATTTCTAACACTATCCACATAGTGAGACCCAAACAGTAATTCCAGGGTCATATTCATTAGGGCACACGTAATAAAACATTTTGCAACAGAAAACGAAAATGGACGTTCTTTATTGGATAGCCTAAGTCCAGGTAGTCTCTCCCTGTTTTAGTTTTTTTTTGCCGTTTGGCGCCTAATGAATACGACCCAGGCCTTTGTGTACCTGAGGAAGAGCATGTCGTCAGAGTAGAGTCCGTTGATGACGCCGCTCTCCTTCTCCAGGGCCAGCATACTGATGTGGAGCTTCCTGGAGTTGAGGAAGTCTAGGATCACCTTGATGATCTCCACCTCCTTCACATTGATGATCTCCTCCGCTGTCATGGCTACGACGAGCTGACACACACCAACAACAACAAAACTCAGGGTAAGTATACAAACCATAAACTGAGGCTCTCATGTTGATTGTAGAAAGGCAGCCTAGTATCTATTTGGTAAACAATAAATTCCTAATGTAATTGTTGCTCCTGATAGTTTCACTTGGCCAACAACTGGTACAACTGACCTTGCTTACTTTTGAATAGGCTTTCAAGAAGTCTAGCCTAATATATTTCAATCCCTCCCAGAAAATAAGCACAGGAAACCTAGGCCTCCTCTGTGCGCCTACTCAATGTGAACGACATGACAAAATCCTCAATTGCACATAATGGAATCAAGCCCCAAATCTGACCACTGTGATTAGCAGATTAACAGCAGATCAGCGTCAGTACAACGTCTGCAGCTGACAGTTAATCCAATCACACACAGCTGTGCTATTAATTGTGAAGTAATAACAGTAACACATTATGGATTAGGATCACATTACTGGTAAATTGACAAAGTTTGGAAACCCCATGCCAGGAAGGCTAACAGATATGAACTGTAACCCATCATATTTAATCTCACTCTTGTTCAAGGGTTCACCTGGGGATAAAAATAGGATAAATACCATTGACTGAGGTTACTGTCATGATAATTAGGATTTGAGTCTCAAATTACGACAATTGCCATCAACCCTACAACTGCAAACAAGTTATATTACTGCAGATTTCATTGATTGATTTACTGCTTAGGCTACAGTTGCACAGGGAGAAAGAAGCCTGGATGCTGACTAAGGATTTAGATAGTTATGTCAATAGTTCTGCTATCTTGGTGTTGCATTGCAATCTGCATTGTTGACAAGGTGTCCAAGCAAGTGGTTACAACAGTATGCTTATACATTTAGTTTAGGAATAGGTGCTTTCAACAAAGAACAAGGTTAGATATCTGGCAATCAACAAAACAGGCCATTCAGAAAAGAAAAAGAACAACCAAACTGCATGCAAAGAGTCACTGCTGGCGACACTTACAGCAGCAGTGGCAACAACGTAGCAGCAAGGAAACTATGCGCAGCGCAACACCTAAAAATAGGATGAACTAGCTAACTAGTTAATTATAACTTGTAGGTAAGGGTTCCAATAAATCAACATCTATTTACAATCTAGAACTAACTAACCATGTAGCTAGGCACTGCAGCTATGGGTGGGGTTCAAACACATAAAATTAGCTTTCTAGCTAAGTAGCTAGCTAGCTGCTTCACCCCAACCTGTTCTTGTCTGATGTTGTGAAATAAACGACAAGACAAGCACATATTTCTCTGAAATATTAGCAAGCTAACTAACTACCTAAAACAGCCAATGTTAGCTGGTAGCGACATACCACGACAAGTACTGTTGTCAGGAACGCACACCCAAAACCGCGATGACAGATTCAGATCATGACCAGAAGAATGGCTAGCCAGGCCAAGCGAGAGACTCATCATCCGCTAGCAGCACAGACGGGATGGGTGGCGAGGCTTCCCACGCATTAACAAACACGCCCTCAATGCGATTTAAAGCTCACCTTGGTCTAAAAATACATGGGCTGAAAACACGCTCCTTAGATTTGTTTCTGTGTTGTTGAAAATCGTAGCTGTCACGGCGATTCTTCTTCGTTTCGTTCGTCAGTCTCTTTTGTTGTTTCTCTCTCCCTTTCTGTTGTCTTCTCTGCTCGATTTCTACTGCTGCTAGTCGCATGCTACCCAGCCCCTTCGGTTGTCAAGCGCACCGCTTCGTCTGTCTACCAATCAAATCCCATCCATTTTCACAGGGGCGCCCCAAGCATCGCTTCTCTTGCAAATCAAAACCGCATAGCCTTTGGGCTACCGATCGACATTCCTACCATCCATTGAACATGAGCATCAAATAAACTGTCATCAACTTCCAATTATGCCACGTGCAATGCGATAATTACTTGTCAGGAGAGGACAGGATGGTGGATGGATAATCCCATGCCTTCACCTCCCAGATTAGGACGTGTCCCATTTACATGTAATCGCAGAATCACAGTGGAAAGTGCAACAGTCGGGTAAATACAATTAAATGCTTGAAGGACATGGCCCTCTGAAAAGGTTTAAAGAGGATTAAAACAGACAGTGATACGAAGTAAATCTGGTTGGTTTTATTCTCATTTGATTGCCTAAAGTTGCTATTGGGTGCAAGAGAGGACGAATAGTGAGTGCCCCCGCACATTGACTCTGTACCGGTACCCCCTGTATATAGCCTCCCTACTGTTATTTTATTTTACTGCTGCCCCTTAATTATTATTATTATTATTATTACACTTATTTTTCATAAAACTGCATTGTTGGTTAAGGGCTTGTAAGTAAGCATTTCACTGTAAGGTCTACAGCTGTTGTATTCAGCGCATGTGGCAAATAACATTTTATTTGATTTGATATCTCAATCATTAGGTTTTCTATGAGAAATTATGTAATAGGTAACAGTAAAATGACAAGCTGGCCTCGGGTTGCAGGTTCAAGACCCACTTGTTCTGTAATGCAGTAACAACAAAGAATCAAACAATTTGATTCAAGTGGATAACCAAGCTTCAAAAACATAAATCACAAGTTTCGATGAAAATTTACATTTTAATATAGTTCAAAGGAATATATAAAAATAACATAAATACATGATCATATTGACAGGGTTAAAATAAAACTAATTTAGAATGGGAAAAACACAGAATGGCATCTCATACATATCTGATTATCCACTACTGACAATAGTATGCAGCAGGAAACAGTTTGCAGTCAGTTCTCTCTCTATTTGTTGCCCGTCACTCATACAAAACATATTTTCTTTTGAGACAGATGTGCTGCTCACATGAAACCTCAAAATGGAAAATGGTTTACGAAAAACACTTATGACAAAATACTGTATATAATGTACAGCATAAACACGGCTTTTCTCCAAAATAATAATAATGCCAGTTTCCTTCCATAGGTTAGAGGAATGTAACATGTTGAAGCATAATGTAACAGATGTTGTGAAAGTCCAGTAGGAATGTTTCATATTTCTGTGATCTACATTATGTAAGTATGCAGTTATACAACAACAAATACTGCAATCTACAGTGGGAAAGCATCATGAATTGCTATTGATGAATTACTCTCAATTGTATATGTACACATACATGTATTGAGGACTACTTAGAGTGTAAATGGAATTCAACAGTTAAGATACTATCCACAATAAAGTAAAATGCTTTTGAATATCTGTGAGGTCCAAACACATACTGTATCCCAACAAGGACTTTTATAAGATATTTTCTCTGAATTGCACAGGCTCATGACACAATTTGTGAAACTTGCTGCTATTCTAAAGCTTGAAATCGTCCTGTCAGTGACATTGAAAAGTGATTACACACGTACATTTTTTAAACAATAAAAGGCCCCATATCCGTCCATATTAAATGATAAACGCTAGTTTGACTCATTCATTTTGAATGGAATTGGTATTATATACAAACTAAATGAACTTATACAGTTATATAGTCTTTACGTATATTTATATTTATGTCAATGAAATTTAAAAAGCCTTTAAAAGACTTCCAAAGCCTTATCAAAAACATAAAATATATTAAGTCAGTTGCTGACATTCCCGTGAACTAGATGATACTTAAATCAATGATTTACTAGTTCTTATCGAAAGTAACGACAACCCAATTCTGAGGTATTCTCCTCACTCAATCTTGGCACTTATTTACACATTACACAAACCCAACTGCTCACTCTCCTCTTTCAGCCAGAGAGAAAAGCAAGCCTCACACACAGCCAATTGTCCTGTACTCACAAAAACATCACAACTGGCGCTTAAATATGACATAATCGCTGCACTTTCATATGACACACAAAACAAGCATAAGGCCAAACATGATGAACAGGGAGACCTCAAACTCTGTCTATTTCAGAGAGATGACATTCAGTGCTTCAGTGGTCTGATTCAGTAAGGCCTTCATCAGCCCCCCCCTTTTTTGGGCACATGAGAACATGGACACCCACGCATGCTGACGAACACACACACGCGTGCTCCATTAGAATGACTCTGGGTCCCACACACACAGTCTTGCATAACAACAACAATGTCCCTTGAGACTTGTGTTTTTTTTTTTTCTACATTCCAGTTGTGCATAATTTCAGCAGTGTTCTCTTAAGAAGAAAAATCCTTCTACATAATCATTCAATTATACTGTATATAAGATATCAGACCCAGATGAATGCTGAGTGTAAGTGTTCATGGAATATCTTACTGGCAAAGAACATTAGAAAGCTGGACTCATTAGCACCGTTCATACCAAACCAGACCCTGTAATATCCCAGGTCATACCCAGACCTGGGTCCGTTCCGTGGTCGGATAACCCACAAAGCCTCCCCTCAGTCCTCAACTATAACCCAGGACACCTAGCAACAATATCCTTGGTTTGTTATGAAAACGGCTTGTTGCTGTGACTACTTGAGACTACCCAGTTTCTTGGGTGTGCCCTGTTTCTTGGTCTGCCACAGGTGGGGGGTGATGGTGATGGCGTCTACACTAGCCGACATGGTCTTGGCCGGGATGTGGCTGAACTGCTTCCTGTCCGAGTTGTACTTGTACAGTCCCTCGATCATCTTGGCCGTGATGCTCTTGGGCCCGATGCCCGCCAGCTTGGTGATCTCCTCCGTCTCTGGACAGTAGGAGTACACCGAGCGGAACTGGCAACCCGTGTCCCGGAATAGAACCAGGAAGTTATTGGCCCCCGACCTCTCCATTTCCTGAAAGAGATAGGGAAGGAAAAGAAAGGAACAAAACGTGAAGTAAAAGAGTAAAGTAAAATGAGAGAAAAAGAAACAGTGTACATCAAACTGCCTACATCTATTATCTTGTTCTTCTGCTCTTCGTTGACCTTGCCCGCCAGGCAGCAGTGGGCCAGTGCATTCTGGATGATATACTTGTTGGACTTGGCACTGGGCTCCTTGTACAGCTTTGGGCCTGAGGGAAGAAACAGATACCAGCATAAGGAATGCAGTGACAAACTACCAGAAAGTCAGAACAGCCTGTTCTACACATGGACCACAGAGCTCCGGTATACTGCAGTAGTGTGGTCTCCTTTTGAAAGCAGAATACTGTGATTGTAGTGTAGCGGGCCGTACCTGTGTACTCTTGGTTGGAGGGAGTGGAGGAGGTTGTGGACTCGTTCTCCCAGTCCTTCTCTCCATTACGAGACGGGCAGGACGACAGATTGCCCTCCGCAGAGTCTGGCCTAGCAGAGTCTGGCCTAACAGAGTCTGGCCTAGCAGAGTCTGGCCTAGGGATGTACACACACACACACACACACACACACACACAGTACAACGACACACACACACACACGCAGACACACACACACACACACACACACACAGGAACAAGAAAAAACACATGCCAGAACACACAGAATAACAGACACACACAGAGACACGTTCACAAAAAACAGACACAGAGACACAGACAGACAGACACAGAGAGACAGAGAGAGACAGACACAAAGACACAGACACAGAGACAAACACATAGACAGACACAGAGAAACCAGGTCAGACACTGTGACACAGTTCTCCCAGGCAGCCCTCCTTGTTCCCTCCTATTACATCCTGCACAGTGATCTCTCTGTGGCTGGCATCAGATCAGAGGCATGTGCACTAGAGCAAAGCAAAGCTACAGTCCAGTCCTTCATTCTGTCTGCTAGGATATGGAGCAGAGACACTGCCGTAGGCTGCAGCAGCTTTAGGCAACAGTACAGTAACAAGACACACAGTATCCCACTGCAGCAGGCACCCTCATGTCCCAGGTCCAGGCTCAGTCATGTCCTGGTTGGGGTTAGGGTTCATGTGTAACCTAGGTCCAGGCTCAGTCATGTCCTGGTTGGGGTTAGGGTTCATGTGTAACCTAGGTCCAGGCTCAGTCATGTCCTGGTTGGGATTAGGGTTAATGTGGAACCTAGGTCCAGGCTCAGTCATGTCCTGGTTGGGGTTAGGGTTAATGTGTAACCTAGGTCCAGGCCCAGTCATGTCCTGGTTGGGGTTAGGGTTCATGTGTAACCTAGGTCCAGGCTCAGTCATGTCCTGGTTGGGGTTAGGGTTCATGTGTAACCTAGGTCCAGGCTCAGTCATGTCCTGGTTGGGATTAGGGTTAATGTGTAACCTAGGTCCAGGCTCAGTCATGTCCTGGTTGGGGTTAGGGTTCATGTGTAACCTAGGTCCAGGCTCAGTCATGTCCTGGTTGGGGTTAGGGTTCATGTGTAACCTAGGTCCAGGCTCAGTCATGTCCTGGTTGGGGTTAGGGTTCATGTGTAACCTAGGTCCAGGCTCAGTCATGTCCTGGTTGGGGTTAGGGTTAATGTGTAACCTAGGTCCAGGCCCAGTCATGTCCTGGTTGGGGTTAGGGTTAAGGCGTCCACATGCTTCCCAGCCAAAACACTTCTGTAGAGTTGGTGTATATATTATGATGACATTTTGTGACGTTTTTGTTTGCTTTGGACTTCGGCTATTCGGGCACAGCATTTTTTTTCTGGAGGCAAGCCGAAGTCGGTGATTGGTCAAGTCGGTGATTGGTCAACAGTAGGGATTCATCAATAAAGTCTTTGTTGTCATTCAACGAATAATAATAATAATATGCCATTTAGCAGACGCTTTTATCCAAAGCGACTTATAGTCATGCATGCATACATTTTTGTGTATGGGTGGTCCCGGGGATCGAACCCACTACCTTGGCGTTACAAGCGCCGTGCTCTACCAGCTGAGCTACAGAGGACGAGAGATGACTTGTTTTCATGCAAATTTTTTCTTTGAAAAATACTGCACCTAACATCTTAGTTAGATGTAAAATTGTGCGACTAAGATCTCCTCTGCAAAAATGTCAAAATGAATGACAGATTTGGGCACCTGTATACAGCCATTCTGAAATTAGCCCACCAAACTACCTAATCCCCATATTGTTATTTATTTTGCTAATTTGCACCCCAGTATCTCTATTTGCACATCTATCATTCCAGTGTTAATACGAAATTGTAACTATTTGCACTATGGCGTATTTATTGCCTTACCTCCATAACTTACTGCATTCGCAAACACTGTATATATATTTTCTGTTGTATTTTTGACTTTATGTTTTGTTTACCCCATATGTAACTCTGTGTTGTTGTTTTTATCGCACTGCTTTGCTTTATCTTGGCCAGGTCGCAGTTGTAAATGAGAACTTGTTCTCAACTGGCTTACCTGGTTAAATAAAGGTTAAATAAAATAAAAAATGATTGAGTCATCTTAGATTAATTTGGACTATTTTGAGGAAGTGTATGGTGTCTAAAAATGGACAAACCATAGTATTGCATTTTTCAAGTGAAGGGAGTATGCGTGCACAATCGTTTGGTTCGGCTAGGCGCCAGCATACAAAACAAAGGGACTGTGATCCATGTGATGTGTTTTGGGGGACAACTGTGATTCAGAGGGAGTCTGGCTGTGGGAGTCAGTGCCTGGGACGGGAAAGTGTCTGCCTGCTGCAGCTTGGATGGCTCTGGGTCTAGTATAGAGGCAACAAGAACACACAGCAGCTAAACATAGAGCAGTTATCATGGAGCAGTTATCATGGAGCAGCTAGTCTGGAGAAGTTATCATGGAGCAGCTAGTCCGGAGAAGTTATCATGGAGCAGCTAGTCTGGAGCAGCTATCATGAAATAGCTAGTCTGGAGCAGGTATCATGGAGTAGCTATCATGGAGCAGTTATCATGGAGCTGCTAGTCTGGAGCAGTTATCATGGAGCAGTTATCATGAAGCAGCTAGTCTGGAGAAGGTATCATGGAGCAGCTAGTCTGGAGCAGTTATCATGGAGCAGTTATCATGGAGCAGCTATCATGGAGCTGCTAGTCTGTAGCAGTTATCATGGAGCAGCTAGTCTGGAGCAGCTATCATGAAATAGCTAGCCTGGAGCAGTTATCATGAAGTAGCTATCATGGAGCAGCTAGTCTGGAGCAGTTATCATGGAGCAGCTAGTCTGGAGCAGCTATCATGAAATAGCTAGTCTGGAGCAGTTATCATGGAGTAGCTATCATGGAGCAGCTTGTCTGGAGCAGCTATCATGAAATAGCTAGTCTGGAGCAGCTATCATGGAGTAGCTATCATGGAGCAGTTAGTTTGGAGTAGTTATCATGGAGCAGCTAGTTTGGAGCAGTTATCATGGAGCTGCTAGTCTGGAGCAGGTATCATAGAGCAGTTATCATGAAGCAGTTATCATCGAGCAGGTATCATGGAGCAGCTTGCATGGAGCAGCTAGCATGGAGCAGTTATCATGAAGCAGCTAGGCTGGAGCAGGTATCATGAAGCAGCTAGTCTGGAGCAGGAATCATGGAGCAGCTATTCTGGAGCAGCTAGCATGGAGCAGTTATCATGGAGCAGCTAGTTTGGAGCAGCTAGTCTGAAGCGGATATCATGAAGCAGCAAGTCTGGAGAAGCTATCATAAAATAGCTATCATGGAGCAGCTATTTACATTTTAGTCATTTAGCAGACGCTCTTATCCAGAGCGACTTACAGTTAGTGAACACATATTTATATATTTTTTTATACTGGCCCCCCGTGGGAATCGAACCCACAACCCTGGCGTTGCAAACGCCATGCTCTATCAACTGAGCCACATCCCTGCCGGCCATTCCCTCCCCTACCCTGGACGACGCTGGGCCAATTGTGCGCCGCCCATGAGTCTCCCGGTCGCGGCCGGCTGCGACAGAGCCTGGATTCGAACCAGGATCTCTAGTGGCACAGTTAGCACTGCGATGCAGTGCCTTAGACCACTGCGCCACTCAGGAGTACATGGTACCGCTAGCATCGAGCAGTGTCATGGAGCAGCCTCAGAGCAGCGCTACAGCCGAGAAAGAGCAAAGTCGGTCAGGCAGAAAGCGGAGCAGAGGCAGGAAGCTAAAGGCATCATGTATGAATTGAGGCAGAAGCAGCTGTGGTACTGAGGAGAATGATTCTGTTGTTTTAAAATAGGTCATTGGCCATCATTTAACTGATACAGCATGCATGTGAAATAACATCTATTATCAATCAATCAAATGTATTTTATATAGCTATTTTTACATAAAAAACATATAGATGTGTTCTCTATGTCTCAGTTCATACTTAGAATTTATGTTAGTATACTGTATGTGGCTTGCTCAAACATTATCAAAAAATATATGTGAGTTCTTTAAATAAACTCAGCAAAAAAAGAAACGTCCCCTTTTCAGGACCCTGTCTTTCAAAGATAATTTGTAAAAATCCAAATAACTTCACAGATCTTCATTGTAAACACTGTTTCCCATGCTTGTTCAATGAACCATAAACAATTAATGAACATGCACCTGTGGAACGGTCGTTAAGACACTAACAGCTTACAGACGGTAGGCAATTAAGGTCACAGTTATGAAAACTTAGGACACTAAAGAGGCCTTTCTACTGACTCTGAAAAACACCAAAATAAAGATGCCCAAGGTCCCTGCTCATCTGCGTGAACGTGCCTTAGGCATGTTGCAAGGAGGCATGAGGACTGCAGATGTGGCCAGGGCAATAAATTGCAATGTCTGTACTGTGAGACGCCTAAAACAGCGCTACAGGGAGACAGGATGGACAGCTGATCGTCCTCGCAGTGGCAGACCACGTGTAACAACACCTGCACAGGATCGGTACATCCGAAACATCACACCTGCGGGACAGGTACAGGATGGCAACAACAACTGCCCGAGTTACACCAGGAACGCACAATCCCTCCATCAGTGCTCAGACTGTCCTCAATAGGCTGAGAGAGGCTGCACTGAGGGCTTGTAGGCCTGTTGTAAGGCAGGTCCTCACCAGACATCACCGGCAACAACGTCGCCTATGGGCACAAACCAACCGTTGCTGGACCAGACAGGACATGCAAAAAGTGCTCTTCACTGACCAGTCGCGGTTTTGTCTCACATGGGGTGATTGTCGGATTTGCGTTTATCATCGAAGGAATGAGCGTTACACCGAGCCTGTACTCTTGAGCGGGGATCGATTTGGAGGTGGAGGGTCCGTCTGTCTGGGGCGTGTGTCACAGCTCATCGGACTGAGCTTTTTGTCATTGCAGGCAATCTCAACGCTGTGCGTTACAGGGAAGACATCCTCCTCCCTCATGTGGTACCCTTCTTGCCCGCTCATCCTACAGGACCCTCCACATGACAATTGCCACCAGCCATACTGCTCGTTCTGTGCGTTATTTCCTGCAAGACAGAATGTCAGTGTTCTGCCATGGCCAGCGAGAGCCCGTCTCTTAATCATTTACATTTACATTTTAGTCATTTAGCAGACGCTCTTAATCCAGACGACTTACAGTAGTGAATACATTTTTTTTTGTTTTTTTTTTTTTTTTTTTTTATACTTTGCCCTCACCGGTGGGAATCGAACCACAACCCTTGGCCGGTTGCAAACGCCATGCTCTATCAACTGAGCTTACATCCCTGCCGGCCATTCCCTCCCTACCCGGACGACTCTGGTCCAATTGTGCGCGCCCATGAGTCTCCCGGTCACGCCGGCTGCGACAGAGCCTGGATTCGAACCAGGACCTAGTGGCACAGTTATCAACTCGGCGAGTCAGTGCCTTATGAACCACTGCGCCACTCAGGACAACCGTGAGCATGTACGGGACCTATTGGATCGGAGGGTGAGGGCTAGGGCCATTCCCCCCAGAAATGTCCGGGAACTTGCAGGTGCCTTGGTGGAAGAGTGGGGTAACATCTCACAGCAAGAACTGGCAAATCTGGTGCAGTCCATGAGGAGGAGATGCACTGCAGTACTTAATGCAGCTGGTGGCCACACCAGATACTGACTGTTACTTTTGATTATTTTGACCCTCCGTTTGTTCAGGGACACATTATTCAATTTCTGTTAGTCACATTTCTGTGGAACTTGTTCAGTTTATGTCTCAGTTGTTGAATCTTGTTATGTTCATACAAATATTTACACATGTTAAGTTTGCTGAAAATAAACGCAGTAGACAGTGAGAGGACGTTTCTTTTTTTGCTGAGTTCTGTCAGATGGGGAATTTTTTTGTAAAAGTGAATTGATTGATCAATCTGGACTGTGATGCAGCAGTATAAACATAAAAGCTAGATCAAAGTCTAGGCCCTTGGCTGGTAGAGGGAGCCCTTACTAACCTTCCCTTTCTCTCTTTGGGAGAGCTTAAAAAGAAAGAGATATGGCCTCTCACAGTGCCTAGTTTACTGCTTCTGGGGGGTCTGTGCAAAACAGAGGGGAAAACAGAGGAGAGAGAGACAGGAATAGAGCGAGGAAAAGAGAGAGACAGGAATAGAGCGAGGAGGAGAGAGACAGGAATAGAGTGAGGAGAAGAGAGAGACAGGAATAGAGTGAGGAGGAGAGAGAGACAGGAATAGAGCGAGGAGGAGAGAGACAGGAATAGAGCGAGGAGGAGAGACAGGAATAGAGCGAGGAGGAGAGAGAGACAGGAATAGAGCGAGGAGGAGAGAGACAGGAATAGAGCGAGGAGAAGAGAGACAGGAATAGAGCGAGGAGGAGAGAGACAGGAATAGAGCGAGGAGGAGAGAGAGACAGGAATAGAGCGAGGAGGAGAGAGACAGGAATAGAGCGAGGAGGAGAGACAGGAATAGAGCGAGGAGGAGAGAGAGACAGGAATAGAGCGAGGAGGAGAGAGACAGGAATAGAGCGAGGAGGAGAGAGAGAGGAATAGAGCGAGGAGGAGAGAGAGACAGGAATAGAGCGAGGAGGAGAGAGAGACAGGAATAGAGCGAGGAGGAGAGAGACAGGAATAGAGCGAGGAGAAGAGAGACAGGAATAGAGCGAGGAGGAGAGAGAGAGGAATAGAGCGAGGAGGAGAGAGAGACAGGAATAGAGCAAGGAGGAGGAGAGAGAGACAGGAATAGAGCGAGGAGGAGAGAGAGAGGAATAGAGCGAGGAGGAGAGACAGTAATAGAGCGAGGAGGAGAGAGACAGGAATAGAGCGAGGAGGAGAGAGACAGGAATAGATCGAGGAGGAGAGAGAGACAGGAATAGAGAGAAGAGGAGAGAGAGAGGAATGAGCGAGGAGAAGTGAAACAGGAATAGAGCGAGGAGGAGAGAGAGACAGGAATAGAGCGAGGAGGAGAGAGACAGGAATAGAGCGAAGAGGAGAGTGACAGGAATAGAGCGAGGAGGAAGGAGAGACAGGAATAGAGCGAGGAGGAGAGAGAGACAGGAATAGAGCGAGGAGGAGAGAGACAGGAATAGAGCGAGGAGGAGAGAGACAGGAATAGAGCGAGGAGGAAGAGAGAGGTATAGAGCGAGGAGGTGAGAGAGAGGAATAGAGCGAGGAGGAGAGAGAGACAGGAATAGAGCGAGGAGGAGAGAGACAGGAATAGAGCGAGGAGGAGAGAGACAGGAATAGAGCGAGGAGGAGAGAGAGAGGAATAGAGCGAGGAGAAGTGAAACAGGAATAGAGCGACGAGGAGAGAGAGACAGGAATAGAGCGAGGAGGAGAGAGAGACAGGAATAGAGCGAGGAGGAGAGAGAGAGGAATAGAGCGAGGAGAAGTGAAACAGGAATAGAGCGAGGAGGAGAGAGAGACAGGAATAGAGCGAGGAGGAGAGAGAGACAGGAATAGAGCGAGGAGAGAGAGACAGGAATAGAGCGAGGAGAAGTGAAACAGGAATAGAGCGAGGAGGAGAGAGAGACAGGAATAGAGCGAGGAGGAGAGAGAGACAGGAATAGAGCGAGGAGGAGAGAGACAGGAATAGAGCGAGGAGAGAGAGAGGAATAGAGCGAGGAGGAGAGAGAGACAGGAATAGAGCGAGGAGGAGAGAGAGAGGAATAGAGCAAGGAGGAGAGAGAGACAGGAATAGAGCGAGGAGGAGAGAGAGACAGGAATAGAGCGAGGAGGAGAGAGAGAGGAATAGAGCGAGGAGGAGAGAGACAGGAATGAGCGAGGAGGAGAGAGACAGGAATAGAGCGAGGAGGAGAGAGAGAGGAATAGAGCGAGGAGGAGAGAGAGACAGGAATAGAGCGAGGAGGAGAGAGACAGGAATAGAGCGAGGAGGAGAGAGAGAGGAATAGAGCGAGGAGGAGAGAGAGACAGGAATAGAGCGAGGAGGAGAGAGAGAGGAATAGAGCAAGGAGGAGAGAGAGACAGGAATGAGCGAGGAGGAGAGAGAGAGGAAGATTAAGATGCAGAGGTTAAGATCCAGAGTGAAAACAGTTCTGATTGCTTTACATAGACAAGTCATAAGACACATTAATGTCCTCTTGAAGGCGTATTCATGCTTTTGATGCTCTTTAAGGCCTTGGTTGTATCGTAGCCAGCCTGGGTGCCAGTCTGTTTGTGCTCAAGTCAACTCCTTTGACATTGTCATGCCAAAATAGTTGGCTAAACCAGGAACAACATAACTGTATGGTCATTTTAATCAGGCAATAGCTGGCCTCACCTGGGGGTCCTCTTATCTCCCGAGTTGCTGTCATTGTCGGCCAGGTTGAGGGAGGCCAGGGACATACTGGAGATTGAGAACCCACGCGGTCGAGTACCTGGACGAGGTAAACACAGAAGACATGTTTGAGTGTGTGTGCGTGTGAATATGTGTGTGTACTAAATACACATCTATGTGTAAAGTGAGCATGTGCATAGAGTGCGTGTGCGTGTGTATCTATCTATAGTGTGTGTGTGTGGTATGGTTTTACTATCCTTGTGGAGATACCCGAGCCTACAATGTGAAAATATGTCTGTGCCCTTGAGCAAGGCACTTAAGCCTAATTTGCCCCAGAGGTGCCGTACTACTATGGCTGACCCTGTAAAACAACACATTTCACTGCACCTATCCGGTGAATGTAACAATAAAAAAATAAAACATATAAAAAATATTTTAACTAATATTTTAATTTGTCGGTCCCCACAAGAAAAAATGCTATTTAAGGACTAGGGGTTAGATTTAAGGTTACAATTAGGGTTAGGGCTAGTTTTAGCGTTAAAGTTTAGGTTAAGGGGTTAGGGAAAATAGGATTTTGAAATGGAATACATTTTTGGTTCCCCACAAGGATAGTAAAACAAACACGTGTGTGTGTGTGTGTGTGTGTGAATCTGTGTGCATACTGTAGTGTGTGTGTTACCTGTGCCTCTGACGGGGGGCTTGGGTGACTCCATGACATCCCTGTGGATGGATTTGGGGCGTGGCTTCTTTTTAAGACTTCCATGGCGGGGCCTGACATCCATATCCTCCACCTGCTTCAAATGCTTCCTCCTCATGTACTCATTCTTTATGTAATCTTTCCTCTGCTTTTCATCCTCTCTCTTCTGCTGCTCCTCCTCTGCTTTCAGCCTAGGGAAGAGGGACAGGAGAGATGACAGGCTTCAATACATCTGTGGGATTACCAAATAAGAGGGAAGTTACTAAGGGGTGGATTTTCACTTAGTCACCCATTGACATCATTGCATGACTACATTCCAATTGGATGTTAGGATTCACCACTCTCTGAATAAAAGAGAAGTAGCTTGGGTCTGAAACCAACCCCGAACGGTACTTTTCAGACTCCCTAAAGGTAAATTTACAGACCTCCTAAAGGTAGTTTTCAGACTCCCTAATAGTAGTTTTCAGACCCCCTAAAGGTAGTTTTCAGACTCCCTAATAGTAGTTTTCAGACCCCCTAAAGGTAGTTTTCAGACTCCCTAATAGTAGTTTTCAGACTCCCTAAGGGTAGCATTCAGACTCCCTAAAGGTAGTTTTCAGACCCCATATAGGTAGTCTACAGACCCCCTAAGGGTAGTTTTCAGACCGGGCATAAAAGTGGGAAAGGCCCTGAAGGTGCAGACTGACCGTGCTTCCTCCTTCCTCTGCTCCTGCTCCAGCTCCAGCTGCTGTTTCTTCTCCTGCGTCTCCTTCTCTCTCCTCTGTCTCTTCTCCAGCAGAGCAGCCCTCTTCACCGCCATGTCCTCCTCTCCCTTCCCATCGTCCTGGAGGGGTACGGGGTGGAGACAGAGTCAGAAATAGGTTGGTAAACTGTTTTTGCATTTCAGAATTTAAATGGCTGCCATGTTGACACCAAAGTTCTACTTAAGAGTGGAAATTGTAATCTTCTTGTCATGGAACGATTGGTGCCAACATGAAGGCTAGTTTACAGAACTAGCTCCAGAGACTAAATGAGATCAGACAGCATTGTCACATCCTCTCACTTCAAAGATCGCTCATCAAGATCGGTCAAATGTACAGTGAGGGAAAAAAGTATTTGATCCCCTGCTGATTTTGTACGTTTGCCCACTGACAAAGACATGATCAGTCTATAATTTTAATGGTAGGTTTATTTGAACAGTGAGAGACAGAATAACAACAACAAAAATCCAGAAAAACACATGTCAAAAATGTTATAAATTGATTTGCATTTTAATGAGGGAAATAAGTATTTGACCCCTCTGCAAAACATGACTTAGTACTTGGTGGCAAAACCCTTGTTGGCAATCACAGAGGTCAGACGTTTCTTGTAGTTGCCCACCAGGTTTGCACACATCTCAGGAGGGATTTTGTCCCACTCCTCTTTGCAGATCTTCTCCAAGTCATTAAGGTTTCGAGCCTGACGTTTGGCAACTCGAACCTTCAGCTCCCGCCACAGATTTTCTATGGGATTAAGGTCTGGAGACTGGCTAGGCCACTCCAGGACCTTAATGTGTTTCTTCTTGAGCCACTTCTTTGTTGCCTTGGCCGTGTGTTTTGGGTCATTGTCATGCTGCAATACCCATCCACGACCCATTTTCAATGCCCTGGCTGAGAGAAGGAGGTTGTCACCCAAGATT